GTAACTTTTGCCTGTAGTATCTCAGATAGCAAATAAGCTACACCAGCAGTTGGTGGCAGCCTGTTTCTGATGCTTTTTAGGAGAGATGTTATCTGCAGAAGGCAGAAGGTGAAGATTTTACGTTCTCTGGAAGCCAGTGAGTGCTATGGATCTCCAACAGAGGATTCTAACACCTGCATCAAACAAGTCACAATTCCCAGGATTTTTGGACAGGAAATCATGGAAATAATGATACAGTCATAGCTTGGATCTTGAATGCCACAAACCCAGAAGTGAGTGTTCCAGTTTGCGAATGTTCTTTGGAAGCCGAATGTCCGACGTGGCTTCTGATTGGCTGCAGGATCTTCCTGCAGCCAATCGGAAGCCACGACTTGGTTTCCAAATGTTTTGGAAGTCGAATGGACTTCCAGAATGGATTCCGTTTGATTTCTGAGGTACCAGTGTAATATAATAATAATAATAATAATAATAATAATAATAATTTATTATTTTTACCCCGCCCATCTGGCTGGGTTTCCCCAGCCACTCTGGGCGGCTTCCACAGAAACCAAAAATACACTAAAATATCACACATTAAAAACTTCCCTGAACAGGGCTGCCTTAAGATGTCTTCTGAGTGTCAGGTAGTTGTTTATCGCTCTGACATCTGATGGGGGCGCATTCCACAGGGCGGGCGCCACTACCAAGAAGGCCCTCTGCCTGGTTCCCTGTAGCTTTGCTTCTCACAATGAGGGAACCGCCAGAAGGCCCTTGGCGCTGGACCTCAGCGTCCGGGCAGAACGATGGGGGTGGAGACGCTCCTTCAGGTATACTGGGCCGAAGCCGTTTAGGGCTTTAAAAGTCAACACCAGCACTTTGAATTGTGCTCAGAAACGTACTGGGAGCCAATGTAGGTCTTTCAAGACCGGTGTTATGTGGTCTCTGCGGCCGCTCCCAGTCACCAGTATAGCTGCCATGTTCTGGATTAGTTGTAGTTTCCGGGTCACCTTCAAAGGTAGCCCCATGTAGAGCGCATTGCAGTAGTCCAAGCGGGAGATAACCAGAGCATGCACCACTCTGGCGAGACTGTAATAATAATAATAATAATAATAATAATAATAATAAAATTTATTTATATTCCGCCCTCCCCAGCCGAAGCTGGGCTCAGGGCGGCTAACAACAATCAAAATAATCCAATGATTCTAAAAACATTTCATTATAAAAATTAATTAAAATCAAATTGATGGCAACCATTAAGCAAAATTCTGTGCAGATTGCCAGAGGAGGGGGTCAGGCTGCGCCCTGACCAAAGGCCTGGTGGAACAGCTCTGTCTTGCAGGCCCTGCAGAAAGATGTCAGGTCCCGCAGGGCCCTAGTCTCTTGTGACAGAGCATTCCACCAGATCGGAGCCAAAGCCGAGAAGGCCCTGGCTCTAGTTGAGGCCAGCCTAACCTCTCTGTGGCCTGGGATCTTCAAGATGTTTTTATTAGTAATAATAGTAATAATAATAATAATAATAATAATAATAATAATAATAATATTTATACCCCTGGTTGCCCCAGCCACTCTGGGCAGCTTCCAACACATATAAAGGTAAAGGGACCCCTGACCATTAGGTCCAGTCTTTGGCCGACTCTAGATCAAGGGAAGTAATAGTCTAGATCAAGGGAAGTAATAGTGCCACTGTATTCTGCTCTGGTCAGACCTCACCTGGAGTACTGTGTCCAGTTCTGGGCACCACAGTTCAAGAAGGACACTGACAAACTGGAACGTGTCCAGAGGAGGGCAACCAAAATGGTCAAAGGCCTGGAAACGATGCCTTATGAGGAACGGCTAAGGGAGCTGGGCATGTTTAGCCTGGAGAAGAGGAGGTTAAGGGGTGATATGATAGCCATGTTCAAATATATAAAAGGATGTCACATAGAGGAGGGAGAAAGGTTGTTTTCTGCTGCTCCAGAGAAGCGGACACGGAGCAATGGATCCAAACTACAAGAAAGAAGATTCCACCTAAACATTAGGAAGAACTTCCTGACAGTAAGAGCTGTTTGACAGTGGAATTTGCTGCCAAGAAGTGTGGTGGAGTCTCCTTCTTTGGAGGTCTTTAAGCAGAGGCTTGACAACCATATGTCAGGAGTGCTCTGATGGTGTTTCCTGCTTGGCAGGGGGTTGGACTCGATGGCCCTTGTGGTCTCTTCCAACTCTATGATTCTATGATTCTATGGGGTTGTGGCGCTCATCTCGCTTTACCGGCCGAGGGAGCTGGCGTACAGCTTCTGGTTGATGTGGCCAGCATGACTAAGCTGCTTCTGGCAAACCAGAGCAGCGCATGGAAACGCCATTTACCTTCCTGCTGGAGCGGTACCTATTTATCTACTTGCACTTTGACGTGCTTTCGAACTGCTAGGTTGGCAGCAGTAGGGACCAAGCAACAGGAGCTCACCCCGTCGCGGGGATTCGAACCGCCGACCTTCTGATCGGCAAGTCCTAGGCTCTGTGGTTTAACCCACAGTGCCACCCACGTCCCAATTTCCATGTAGTCGGTACGTAATTCAAAGGAATGTTTTCCTCTGAAAATTTAAACTTTTTTCTGCACGGTCATGTTTTTGCAATCTAATACTTTCTCCCAAAACTTAGGAAGCGAAGGACGTTGTAAAAACAGGCGTTTCAAAGAAGCATGATCCTTATTGCATCTCCAACATCAGGCTGCCTTTGACTGTCCTTTTCTATATAACAGTAATGGAGTCCAGTAAATTCTAAATATTATTTTCTGTTGTATAAGTTATAGTTTAACAGCCATAGACGCCTTTGCTACAAAAGGTAAAACACTTTCCCACTGTCTAGGTAATATAGGAACCTCCAATTCTTTGTTCCAGTCATTTCTTAAAATCTTACACCACCCAAATGATCCTGGGAACTTTGTTTGTAAAGGGAGCTAGAAATTGCAGGTTTTTGAGAGTTCTCCTAACAACTGTAAGCAAGGTTAGCAAACTGCAGTTACCAGAATTCTTTTGGGGGAAGCCATGGTTGTTCAAAGTCGTGCAAGAATGCTTTAAAATAACACTTTGGTTGTGACCTAAGATGATATAGAACTGACATAGGTTTGTAACATAGATATAGGTTTGTAACACAGAGGTTTGTAACATAGACATGGGTGGCACTGAGCTTCTTGGGCTTGCCAATCAGAAGGTTGGAGGTTCGAATCCCCACGACGGGGTGAGCTCCCGTTGCTCTGTCCCAGCTTCTGCCAACCTAGCAGTTCAAAAGCACGCCAGTACAAGTAGATAAATAGGTACTGCTGCGGTGGGAAGGTAAACAACATTTCCATGTGCTCTGGTTTCCATCATGGCACCCCGTTGCACCAGAAGCAGTTTCATCATGCTGGCCACATCACCCGGAAAGCTGTCTGTGGACAAACACCGGCTCCCTTGGCCTGAAAGTGAGATGAGCGCCTCAACCCCGCAGTCGCCTTTGACTGGACTGAACCATCCAGGGGTCCTTTACCTTTACCTTTTATGCCTTTTGTCATATCTTAGGCTGTTTTATCTGATTGTGTTGATCTGATTCGATCATCATAGGTCCAACGTTTGGGTTGCGTGTGCTTAAATCAATATTTTTATGGAACTTTTAAAAATAAAATCACAATATTAAATCACAGAAGTCTCATATTTTCCATTGCCTTCCTCCCCCTGGTTCCCCAGCATTTGTGGTTCAGATGGAAGCATTCCTGTTGTGCAAACAGCCAAGAATGTGACTAGCAAAAACCGCAACCTCTTAACACACACACACCACAGAAAAGGGAAGGGCAGAGGAAGTGTCAACAAAGGAGTGACAGTCAACAAGGAAGAATGAGATGTTTTCCTCATTCATCTCAAATGCATCTCCCTCCTAAAAACCTCATGCTTGGATGAGATCAAGATTCAATAGTCTGCAAGCCTGTGTTTTCTTGACAAGTCAGGATGCTTCAACAGTGTGTCACAGTGACAGTGTGGTTGTGAGATCACCTTACTGGAGATATTGAAATATCCAGTTCACCCTTCGGCTGTTCGGACAGGGCCATTCGTTCCCCCATCCCCTTGACCTTGACACAATATTGTGTGTAACACTCCCCTACAGAGCCAGCAGAAAAACAGTTCTAAGCGACTCGCGTGAGCAGAGAGCTACAAGCTTCAAGGGAAGGCCAAGACACATGCTGTTGCCATCTGGAAAGTCTTCTAAAAGTGGATTTCATTAGGAGGAAGTGAATATGCGCAGCTTGCAGACTTAACATATAGAATAAGAGAACACGAAAAACATACATTTAGAGAAGATTGGAAAATGTTTATTGAATACATGGGGGAGGGAACTTGTGCGCACTTGAAAACGTTGGAAGCATTAAGATAAATTCAACAGTGTAAATAAGTTGTGATGGATGTAATAATGGAATACTGAACGGTTTAGTTTATGTAAAATATGCAGGGATTTATGATATACAAAATGAACCATGGAAAGAGAAGGGAAGTCATTGATAGTCTAAGGATGTTTAAATGAGTATTTTAATTGTAAAACAGAAAATTTAATTTAAAATTATATATTTTTAAAAAGGTGAAACCCAGAGAAGGGAAGAAATCAGAGATTTCCCCCAAAGCTGAATTCACCCCATCCTAACCTGTGAATTCTCACATTCCCAAGATGTGTTTTTGATGTTGGATGATTACCGAAATATAACCTCATGATTCAGCCAGGAATATGTTGCGAGTAACCAGGGTTTATTGGGGGGGGGGGGAGGACACGTCTAAAAGATTCGGAATGAAATGTCTCCACAACAGTTGGTTAAAATTACTTTCTTTCTTTTGACCCCAAGTGCTCAGAAAAATCTGTCAACATCCTTTCTACAATTTCTACTTTTAGTTACGTATTTTTATTTATTTACCTGATTTGGGATGGGGGACACCTGCTCCCCCCCCCCGCCCGCTACACCAATGTTAAACCATAACATACGTGATGCGCTTCCAACATGCAAGCTCAAGCCTGCCCCATACGGCGCCGTGAGTTCAAATGCCAGGAATCCATCAAACCAGAGCTAACTTGGAAGCCGTCCGGGAAACTTTGGCCGCCGCTTGGAAAGCATGCAACGGCACTCCTTTCCCGGAAAATTGCGTTAAAAGAGGGGTGGGAGCCGCAGGAAGTCCCACCCCTGCCCCTAGACGAATCCCCTCCGAAAAGCTTGGCGCATTTGCGCGGAGGTTTGCTCCGGATCCGAGGACGCCTTCGGGAAAGGACTGGAGATGCGCGTCTGAAGGAGACTCCGCCCAAGAGGAGCGCAGGCTGGCGACCTTCCCTTTTGCGCCTTTGCGCGGCGGCACTTTCGCTTCCAAGGCTATTCCCTCCCCGCGCGGCGCGTCATCCCCGACGAGGAGCCCGTGGGACGGCGCGGGGCGAGCACCTGGAGGCTGCCGGGCCCCTCCTCCCCTGGCCGGGGAAGGGCGTCCCTCCGGCGTGCTGGCTGGCTGGAGCGCCACAAAGCGGGGAGCTCGCCGGCCGGCTGGTGGGGAGAGCGAGCGCGGATTCTTGCTTGGCGCGCCTGGAGACCCGGGACTCGAGCATGGCTTTTGGCAAGAGTCAGAAGGATCCCTTCGGCACAGCCGTTGGGCATCTGATCGGTAAGAAGCGGCATCTTTCCCCCCTTTGCCTCCCCTCACTGCCAGCCCGTGGGTGGCTGCCCCTGTACTGAGCGGAGCGCCAAACTTTCCCAAGGCACCGTCCCATTTTCAGACGGGAAGGGCGGGCAGCCGCGCGGTAGCGGAGGCAGCCTTTGCGCGCCGAAGGGCTCAGGTGGCGTCTCCAGGTCTGGAGCCGTTGGGGAGACGCTACCTGCCAGTGCCTGAAGTACTAAGCTAGCCTTGCCAGTGGTGTGGTTCGGGGCGAGACAGCGTTCCTATATGGATGTAGGCGGAGAGGGAAAGGATAGTTTCTGCTGCCCTTCCGAGTTCTGGAAACCTAACAGGCTTCTGGGTCAGCGGGGCAGGTAAGGGGATATTCAGCTCTGTGTTTAATGTTTTTGCACCCCCTCCTAGTGGGCTTAACCAGGATTTATGTTGGGGGGCAGGCTTTATTTTAGAGGTTCCGGACCTCAGTTAAGTATTTTTATTGATGGGGGGGGCAATTGCCCCCCTTGGCTACACCCATGCCCCCCTCCTGTAGATGGAATTGTGTATTACCTGCCTGGCTAGATGGCTTTTGGCGTTTCCTTCGGATTCTGCTTCAAATCTGATAGGCCAACTTTGTTGTATTTTTTTATTGGGTGGTGATGTCTTCTGCTCATTTTGCTGAGCTGGTCTCCTGGACTCCTGCCTCAAAGTCCTACTTTAATGGCACTGCTGTACTGGGTGATACACTCGGTTAAACTACAGTACTGTGGTTTTTCAGCTCCTCCAGGCCCATAGAAACCCAAGAGCTAAACCAGCTACTCTTGCCCCTCTAGGGGGTTCCAATTCCAGGTCCCTAACCAATTTGTTTGTTGTTGCCGTGCCAACTAGTCTCCTCCCACCCACTGTGGGAGCTGTCCCATGAGCAAATATCAAGCAGCTGCATTTTATTTATTGCTATTACTTTTCAGAAAATTTATATGCCGCTCAATTGTAAAGGAAAAACAAGAGCAACCCACCTTAAAGTGATTTACAGAAAAGAACAGAACCATGACATTATCAGCAAAAACTGATATTTGAAACATTCAAACGCAATTAAAACCAACCATAAGCTAAAAAATACTGATTAAAATGTATGTGTTGTTATTGATGAACACTGTATCTTGATGCCAAGATAAGATTCGCCTGCTGAAATTTTGATCAGGGGAGGCAGAAAAGCCTCACCAGGAAAGAAAGAGAAATCTTGATAGCCTTATCTCTGTTTTGGAGGTCAGACATCACTAAGCTTTAGTCAGCCACAGAGGATCAGAAGGTCTCCTTGTTTGGCTCCAGCGAAACAAAACACCACCCAGGTTGCTGTTTGTTCAGAATATTTCTTAACAATCCATCATCAATAGAAGCCAAGCTGGTGTGTGCACTGCTTTCACACAATGTATAAATGCTGTGTAAAGTTGACAGGCGAGCTTTACTGCATCAGAACACAATAAAGCGAAAAGCAGAATGGGACCCGATCCCAACAACCCCCTACAGACTGAAGTGCCAGGGCAAGTAGAAAAGTGTTTTGACTTTTCTGATACCTGCGGACTGCAGTTCCCAGCCATGGGGCGCTTTTTACTCATGCTTTTCTTAGCCACTCTGTGTGACAAGTGTGGAGGCTGGAAAATGTGGCGGATTCCCTGCCATTGTTAGACATGTGTGCCTTTCCTTTGAACCAGTGTTCAAAATTAGCCAGGCGCCAGGCGCGTTTTGTGACTGGCGCGGGTCCATTTGCTACCACATTAAGTTGGCGACAGACATCCCCATCTGGCTGGCCCCTCCTCAGTTAACCTCTACAACGACCCTGCGAGGTAGGTGAAGGGGCGGTGACTGGCCCAAGGTCACCCAGTGAGCTTCATGATGGAGTGTGGATTTGAACCCTGATCTCCCGGGTCTTAGTCCAACGCTCTAACCACTTCACCATGCTGCCTTCCTTGAGTTCTTCTGCTATATCAATTAAGTAGGCAGATAAATATGGGGAAAGCAAAATGTCACTTAGAGAAGGATCTGAAATATTTTCCTTGAAGCTTGAGTTTGTCTTATTCTGGATTGCTTTATTTGATGTTTTGATGTGTTGTGAACCGCTTTGAGATTTCTTTCTTTACTATATAAAGTAGTATACTGTAGAAATGAAATGAACAAAAATAGTAATAACAATAATAGCTCTCATTGGGGATGGGGGATGGCATCTAGACTGTTGTGGTGACCATAACCTAAGGTTTAAGCTGCCATTTGGCAATTAGCTTATACAGTGGTACCTCGAGTTACAAACACTTCGGGTTACAGACTCCGCTAACCTGGAAGTAATACAGTGGTACCTCTGGTTGCGAACGGGATCCGTTCCGGAGGCCCATTCGCAACATGAAAAGTCCGCAACCTGAAGCGCTGTATCTGCGCAGGTGCGCAGCACGATTTGGCGCTTGTGCGCATGCGTGAAGCGTGATTTAGTGCATCTGCGCATGCGCAAGCTGCGAAACCCGGAAGTAACCCTTTCCGGTATTTTTGGGTCGCCGCGGGACACAACCTGAAAAAAGTAACATGAAGCAAACGTAACATGAGGTATGACTGTACTGTACCTTGGGTTAAGAACTTTACCTCAGGATTAGAACAGAAATCACGCAGCGGAAGCGGGAGGCCCCATTAGCTAAAGTGGAACCTCAGGTTAAGAACGGTTTCAGGTTAAGAACGGACCTCCGGAACGAATTAAGTTCATAACCAGAGGTACCACTGTATATCTGAGTTCCTAACACTGCTTAGGAACCCCTCTCACCTTCTCTCCCTCAGGAACAAGGGAGGAATAAAAGTTCTACATCAGGAATGCCTCCTCTTCTTCAAGAGGCTGCTGGAGAGGCAGAGTTGCAGGGGCTGCCCCCAGGAGACATCAACTCCAGCCTCCAAGGAGCACACCGCTGCAGCAGCGGGTCAGCGGGTGATGCATTCTTTGGAGGCCAGATCTGCTGCCCCTGTGGATTCTGCCTCCCGAGGCAGCAACCCCACCTTGCCTTATGGGTGGGCCAGCTGTGCTTCCTTAACACTGTTGACTTCCAGTTAAGAGCTCGGAATCCATCCGTCAATTCCCCCTTTCCCAAGCCTGTGCGCCTCTCTTCCCTTCATTTGGAGCGACTGCAGCCCACGTTCCCTGCTGCCGTGCTCAAAATAATGAATGTTTTGCATCTTGGAATTCCCCGCTTCACTCAGACACATGTGTTGAGTTGGGGGTGGAGGGAAATGCATTCCTTTAGCTGCTCTGGATTGTGAGGATGACGGGAGTGGTTGGAGACTCGCTAACGGAGTGACTCATCAAGGTTTAAGTGATGCTAGTCAGTTTCAGTCCATTCTCCCCAGAAAAAAAGAGTGAGTTTTCCCCTTGTACAGTGGTACCTCGGGTTACAGACGCTTCAGGTTACAGACACTTCAGGTTACAGACTTCGCTAACCCAGAAATAGTACCTCGGGTTAAGAACTTTGCTTCAAGATGAGAACAGAAATGGTGCAGCGGCGGCGCAGTAGCAGCAGCAGGCCCCATTAGCTAAAGCGGTACCTCAGGTTAAGAACGGGTTCAGGTTAATAATGGACCTCCAGAACAAATTAACTTCTTAACCCAAGGTACCACAGTATTATATCAGGGATGTGGAACTTCTGGCACTCCAGATGTTGTTAGGGCTAGAGCTGGGCGATATACGGGTAAATTGTCTGAAACCGGTATGCTGTTCAGGTAGCGATACTGGTTTCAGACATTTGGAGCTCAAATTGCCTGCAGAAGGCAAAGGTACAGGCAGATGGAGCCTGAGAAGGCAAAGGTAAAAAGGTAAAGGACCCCTGGATGGTTCAGTCCATTCAAAGGCGACTATGGGATTGCGGCGCTCATCTCGCTTTCAGGCCGAGGGAGTCGGTGTTTGTCCACAGACAGCTTTCCGGGTCATTTGGCCAGCATGACTAAACCGCTTCTGGCGCAACGGAACACTGTGAGCGCACGGAAACATCATTTACCTTCCCACCACAGTAGTACCTATTTATCTACTTGCACTGGTGTGCTTTCGAACTACTAGGTTGGCAGGAGCTGGGACAGAGCAACAGGAGCTCACCTCATCGCAGGGATTCAAACCGCCGACCTTCTGATCGGCAAGTACCTTCTCCGGCTCTGCCTGCTTGCCTGCACCATTGAGGAAGCCCTGATGCTCCTCCGGCTTGTGCAAGCTGGAGCAGAATTGGTGCTTGCTTAGCTGAGGAGCAAGAGGCCTTCCGTCTCCCAGTTGAGCAGTTCAACAAAGCCCCAATGCCCCTCCTGCTCACATGAGCTGAAGTTATACAGGCTTGCTTGTAGGGCTGGGCAATGTATCTTGGCTTCTTCTAAGGTGGGGAGGAAGAAGCAGGCGATATACAGACATTGTGAAACATCAGCATGTTGTGGTACAGTCATACCTTGGATCCTAAACACCTTGCAACTTGAACGTTTTGGCTCCTGAACGCTGCAAACCCGGAAGTGAGTGTTCCAGTTTGCGAATGTTCTGTGGAACCCAAAGGTCCAATGCAGCTTCCGTGGCTTCCGATTGGCTGCAGGAGGTACCTGCAACCAATCGGAAGCTGCACCTTGGTTTCCGAACGTTTTGAAAGTCGAATGGAATTCTGGAACGGATTCCGTTTGACTTCCGAGGTACCACTGTATTTAGCTGTTGATATAAAAGGTAACTCCTGCCAACCTAGCAGTTCGAAAGCACGTCAGAGTGCAAGTAGATAAATAGGTACCGCTCCGGCGGGAAGGTAAACGGCGTTTCCGTGCGCTGCTCTGGTTCGCCAGAAGCGGCTTAGTCATGCTGGCCACATGACCCGGAAGCTGTACGCTGGCTCCCTCGGCCAATAAAGCGAGATGAGCACCACAACCCCAGAGTCGGCCACGACTCGACCTAATGGTCAGGGGTCTCTTTACCTTTACCTTTATAAAAGGTAAAGACTGATGTATCACAATCTCTGTCATAGGAAGGGGGGCAGGGGAGCGCAGCGCCCCAGGTACCATGTGGGTAAAGGGTGCCATCGCGGCCACCCCCCTCGGGATGCGCAACCCCGGGACACTTGCCACACCCCCACAGGTGATGCGCCACACCCCCGGGATGCGCGTCAGCCACGCCCACGCCTGTTCTCCACTCCGGGGGCTGCAGCCTGTTGCTCCACCACTGATCAAATGCTGAAAAACAGATCTCGCCCAGCCCTAGTTAAGGCTGATGTGTGACATTTAGAGGTCATCTGTGACTGGTTCCCCATCCCTGTATTAACAGAGGCAAAGGTGGACAGAGTTTCAGTGCCTTTAGGCAGAGGAGGAAGTTTCAGCGAGGGCAGCTAATGTCACCTTTGCAGGATAAACATCACTTGCTAACATTCCTACTTTGCCTAACAGTTATTAATAAAGTTGCAGAAGTCTGGTCCTCCCTTGCAACAGGTCAGCTCATCCTTCCACAAACTGATGCCCTCTACAGTAGTACGTTTGGTTAAGAACTTAATTCGTTCTCGAGGTCCGTTCTTAACCCGAAACTGTTCTTAACCTGAGGTACCACTTTAGCTAATGGGGCCTCCCGCTGCCGCCACGCGATTTCTGTTCTCATCCTGAGGTAAAGTTCTTAACCTGAGGTACTACTTCCGGGTTAGCAGAGTCTGTAACCTGAAGCGTTTGTAACCTGAAGTGTTTTTAACCCGAGGTACCACTGTAGATGTTTTTGACTACCACAGCCCCTGTCAGCTGCAGCCAGTAAGCTGAGTGGTAGCCAAAATACCTGGAGAGCACCAGGTTGGGGGAAGATTGTTCTAGCCCTAAGTCTTTGTTTGCTGATATCCAGTAAGCCACTTTCAAAGCATTTCATAGAATCAGAATGCTGGAACTGGATATCCTAGGTGTTTCCTGACATTGGCTAACTGGTTTCTTGTTTCTTTTCTTTTTTTATAAAGGAAGGAGATTTAAGACTCAGGGTACTTCAGAGGGAATGACCATTTTAAATCAAAACTCTTTATGCCAGTCATTTGAAACAACCAAAGTTATATTTCCTGTTTGTTAGGTGTCTGTATACAGTGGTACCTCAGGTTAGGTACTTAATTCTTTCCAGAGGTCTGTACTTAACCTGAAACTGTTCTTAACCTGAAGCACCACTTTAGCTAATGGGGCCTCCTGCTGCTGTTGCGCCACCAGAGCACGATTTCTGTTCTCATCCTGAAGCAAAGTACTTAACCCGAGGTAATATTTTTGGGTTAGCGGAGTCTGTAACCTGAAGTCTATGTAACCTGAAGCGTATGTAACCTGGGGTACCACTGTAGTGTCTGCATAGCTATTTTGGATGGGAAGAGGTATAAATAATAAAATTATTATTACTATTATTATTACTCTTTACTGGAAGTAAATCTTTGTCTTTGCAGAAAAGGCTACTTTTGGAGCACTGCAGACAGAAGAGTGGGGTCAGTTCATGCACATCTGTGATATTATCAACACAACTGAGGAAGGGTAAGCTGGTTCCTGTTCTGCAGAATTCTCATGGAATTTGGTCTTGCTGATAAGACATATTGGCCTTCCGTGTTAAAAGTCTAATCCTGTTTGTATGACGATAAAGGCACTCCATACCCCGGTATAAACCCTTTGTCCTCTGTTGTGCATGTGTAATTTTACAATTCGCTCATCTAGAAAGCCACATGTGAAGGCAGTAGGGAATCTGATTTCAATACGTATTTGTCGATACTTTTACATCTCAAGTTCATGTTTACCGATGCATGTTTGTTTATTTAATGAAATTTATATGCTGTTTGAGCGTAGCGGTTTTTAGAGTTGCTGACTTTCAAACAGTCCCTATAGCTGTGCCTTTAACTGAAGCGTGAACAACAGCAGTTACACAGGGGGCGTGTTTATCGCCATGCTGTCAAAAGCTTTGCCTGTGAATTCCTATTAAAGGCACAGCTACAAAGGCTGGTTTAAAAGTTGGCAACGGTACTGCATATGCATCTTTAAAACATGACCCATGAAGCAACCCTAGAATGTCTGGTTCATGACTGTGTGCAGTAGGTAATGAAGAAGAAGAAGAAGAAGAGTTTGGATTTGATATCCCGCCTTTCACTCCCTTTAAGGAGTCTCAAAGCGGCTAACATTCTCCTTTCCCTTCCTCCCCCACAACAAACACTCTGTGAGGTGAGTGGGGCTGAGAGACTTCAGAGAAGTGTGACTGGCCCAAGGTCACCCAGCAGCTGCATGTGGAGGAGCGGAGACGCGAACCCGGTTCCCCAGATTAGGAGTCTACCGCTCTTAACCACTACACCACACTGGCTCTGTTAGGACCTTGGTTGAAAGTGAGATGAGTGCCACAACCCCATAGTTGCCTTTGACTGGACTTAACCGTCCAGGGGTCTTTTACCTTTACCTTTGTTTCTCTCACCTGAATGGGTCTATCTGCCAGCAACTTCTAACGTCAAATTGGGAGGTGCTCTTGAAACTTAATGCAATCAAGTAGAGAAACTACAGAATTTAGAGATGGGATCAAGACTGCAATAATGGGAGGCCCATTGGTTCTGCTAAAATCCATGGGATCCTTATTATGAAAAGGGAGCGTGTAAGTGCCTTTTTTAAAAACAAAAGAAAGAATTCTAAAAGTTCAGTTTCTTTGCCTGGGGGTGGAGAGGAGGACTGTGTTTTTTTCTGACCCCCCCCCCCAGCCTTCACATCTCTATGAGCAGCTATGCTGCGTGATAAAGGAAGGGATCATCACAGTTGCAATATTCACATGGGGCAAGCCGGTGGAAGCAGAGAAAGGGTTAATCAGCCCTTTGCTTGTGACTCACATCATGAATGATCCAACACCTTGAGCCCTCCAGCTCTTCCCCAGTTCCAAATAGGACCTTATTCAAATTAGTCACTGACCGTATCTTCAGAAACAATATTCAGATGTGGATAGGTGATCTCCACTTTAGCTGATTGGTTGCAAGCGAAGTGCTGTGCTGTTTTCTCGGAACAGCAGAAAGCATCTCACTACTGGAATGAAGAAACGACGTAGCCAAAGGCTGGTCACTTACAGTGTAATGATGATGACTGTGTGCGTTCCTTGATCCTAACATTTAATTTGGATGAGCAGCAAAGACATCCACTGTAAAGAGAAGAGTCATCGGTGGCAGTCGGTTGTGCTCAGTTAGCGTGAGCTAAAAGCAACAGGCTTTCTTCCTAGAGAAAACTCAGCCCTTGTAACATCTTAAGACAGGGATGGGGTGCCTGGAGCCATCAAGGTATCACTGGACTACAACTTCCATAATTTCTGAGCAGTGGCCACGTTGGCAGTGCACTCCTTTGACCCAATATTTGCTCCTGTAACGCAACATAGTGGAAAAAACGAAGAGCACTGCTAGTGTTAGAAATGCACGTATTGTGTTCATCTGTATGGAAAATGTATCCCCTGCGTTTATTGTAAAATTCTCACGAGGGAGGAGCAAAGGTTTCTCCTTACTTTTCCTCCTTTGCCTCACTCCCATAGCATGGTTTTATAAATAAGGTAAAGGTAAAGGACCCCTGGACGGTTAAGTCCAGTCAAAGGTGACTATGGGGTTGTGGCGCTCATCTTGCTTTTCAGGCCGAGGGAGCTGGCATTTGTCCGCAGACAGCTTTCCGGGTCATGTGGCCAGCATGATGAAACCGCTTCTGGTGCAACGGGACACTGTGACAAAAGCCAAGTGCATGGAAATGCCATTTACCTTCCCACTACAGTGGTACCTATTTATCTGCTTGCATTGGTGTGCTTTCGAACGGCTAGGTTGGCAGGAGCTGGGACCGAGCAACGGGAGCTCACTCTGTCACGGGGATTCAAACTGCCGACCTTCCGATCGGTAAGCACAAGAGGCTCAGTGGTTTAGACCTCAGCGCCACTTGCTCCCATGGATTTATAAATATGGTGGAAAGCAATACCCCACCCCATCACTCAATAGTGCATCCACCTATGAGGTGTAGTGTGCTTGTTTATCTGCTAGCATGTGGGGGGAAAAATATCTAGCTTGTTTTGAAGCTTCCTATAATTAGACTGGAAGAGAGCCAAGAAGCTGATGTGAACACCCTTAGTCTTACACAATTTGCCACAGGATTTTTGATAGGGTAATCTAGTGCTATTAGTGTTTGGGCTCAGATAATGGGTGAGACTATTTAGGCAGTGTCCTCATCTTCTCCGTTTAAGAAAAGGTTTGAGGATCTGACGTGAAAACAGAGGAGGCGGCAATAAAACAATCTCCTTTGAGTCTCTGGCTCCACTGTGCAATATTTAAATACTAAGCTGCTGCTACTGCTGCTAAATTTTGCTTATAAATGGAGCACATTGAAGTGCTAGATGGGGAAGAAAGAGAGGAATGTTTTGGGGGGAATTCAGTTCGGGGTTGGGGGAAGCTTCGCATTGGACGATACAAAGAGAATTCTTGTTTGAAAGTTTTGTAACCCGCTCTGAGATCTGTGGATGGCAGGCAGGCTAAAAATGCTTTTAAATAAATGAACAAATCTCTGCGGTTGGTTTATCAGCTGCAGAAATAGTATGGGCTGCTGCTTTGTGTGTTTGGGGCCGCATGAAAGGTGAGATTGGTGCTTTCAGGATTCAGTGACTGTAATTTGTTTTTACTGATTTTAATACCAAATTTAAACTTCTCGTAATTTGCCTTGGGACCTGCTGGTGAAGGGTGGATAATAAACTGAATAATAATAATAGTATCTCCCCAGGTTCCAGCATTCGGTCATAATCAAGCATGACCAAGAGATAGCATGACCATTGATTATGCAGTTGAAGCAGTCAGGGTATGAGGATAGGAGCAGAATCTATTGACCAAGACTGGGGGACACTGGAAGACACGTGAAACAGAGGGAGTTCCCACTGAAATGTGTCTCCCATATAAGTGGGGGTTTACTTTCTCCCATATAAGTGGGATGGAGTTAATTAATTAATTAAGGTGAAGCCTCGGGTTGCGAACATGATCCGTGCGGGAGGCATGTTAACAACCCGCAGCACCGCAACTTTACACATGCGGGTTGCGATTTGGCGCTTCTGAGCACGTGCAAAGCGCAATTGCCAAAACCCGTTCTGGTACTTTCGGGTTCAGCGCGGTGTGCAACCCAAAAACACGTAACCTGAAGCGTCCGTGACCTGAGGTACCACTGTACTTGGTTTTATGTCTACCCTGCCCGTAATCCAACCAGACCCCATGGTGGTTCTTCGTGTTTCTAGAGAAAAATAAAGCATTGCAATTGGGTACCCTCTAGGGACGCGGATGGCGCTGTGGGTTAAACCACAGAACCTAGGACTTGCCAATCAGAAGGTCGGCGGTTCAAATCCCCGCGACGGGGTGAGCTCCCATTGCTCTGTCCCAGCTCCTGCCAACCTAGCAGTTCGAAAGCATGTCAAGGTGCAAGTAGATAAATAGGTACTGCTCCGGCGGGAAGGTAAACGGCGTTTCTGTGCTGCTCTGGTTTGCCAGAAGCGGCATAGTCATGCTGGCCACATGACCCAGAACCTGTATGCCGGCTCCCTCAGCCAATAAAGCAAAATGAGCACCGCAACCCCAGAGTTGGCCACGACTGGACCTAATGGTCAGGGGTCCCTTTACCTTTACCTTTTTACCCTCTAGGAAATGTGAGAAAAACCTGCCTACTGCCCTAGATCCTGGGTGACCAAGACTTTCAGATTCTGAACATCCATCTGTTCACACTTTGCAGGGTATCTCTACACACAGCCCACCTGTCACGAAGAGAATAATCTTGCCCCTGCTGAAATACAGTGCATTATTTCAGTTTTATCTGGATTTTCTTCCATGCAAACAGTGGCTGCAGTCTTTATCTCTCTGGCTGGTGTTGCAGGGCAAACAGCGTGTTAAGTCATTGCTTTTATCTGGTTTCCTTTCTTTTAATTGCAGACCCAAGAATGCGATCAGAGCACTAAGGAAAAGGCTTTCCAAAAACTGCAACCATGTTGAGATTCGTCTGACGCTTTCTGTAAGTATGATACTCTTGATCCTCATAAAAAAGAGTCTGCTAAACACAGAAGGGGACACTTTGGATTTCTCTGGATCACAGCCCAGGGAGGAACCTGTTTGAGCAGAACATTTTACTAAACAGCAACAATTTTCCTGACACACCAAACATGAACTTCGGGGGAAGGAGGTGCTCATTTTCTGGGTCATGTTTAGGTGAATGTCATCTGGATCCTTGCCTGGGGTTTCTGAGCACTATTCTTTATGGACAGAGGTCAATTGTTCTTCACCGTTGGAGATTCTCCAACAGATTAACCTCTGCTTTCCACCTTCAGGGCTTGCGGGGGGGAGGATTGAGCCAGTATTATGAAGAAGACAAACAATGACATCTGGAGATAAGTCTTTGCTCATCTTCCAATGCCCCACCTGGGTTCCACCAGGGGCCTCCTCCTCCCCCTCCTTCTTCTTCTTCCTCGGTGATCACTCATAGCCAAGTAAAATTGTCTTCCATGAACGCGGTCTTAACAGTGAGTCTGTAAGTGACTGTGGAGGCCAGTTCTGGATCCACACGTCCTTCCACAGTGGGGACATAGGTTTCTGGGCGGGAGTTTATGACAGGGAGGGTTTGCCATGCATGCCTTCCTCTTAGCACGTTTCTCCATTTCACCCTGAGTTTGAGCATCTTCAAAGCCCATGACACCATTGGTAGAGGCTGTTCTCCAATTGGAGCGCTTGCAGGCCAGTGTTCCCAGTTGTTGGTGTTTATGCTACATTTTTTTTAGATTTGCCTTGAGAGAGCCTTTAAACCTCTTTTGTTGACCACCAGCATTACACTTTCAATTTTTAAGTTTGGAATAGAGTAGTTGCTTTGGAAGACGATAATCAGGCATCCGCACAACATCACCAGTCCAGTGAAGTTGATGTTGAAGAATCATTGCTTCGACACTGGTGATCTTTGCTTCTTCTAGTACACTGGCACTAGTTTGCCTGTCTTCCCAAGTGATGTGTACAAATTTTCGGAGACGTAGTTGATGGAATCTTTTGAGGAGTTGGAGATGGCGTTTATAAGTTTATAAACCAGGCACCACCACCACCCCTTCTAAGGTGTGAGCCTTCTTCATTGTAACCTGGGCAGGTGGTGTTGGGTCTAGAAACATGTTTGGGACCTGAATCTCCCACACTACATGGTTGCTGGACAGGGGAAGGCCTCTCAGCCATGGGCAGTCCTCATAACTCACATCATCACCCACAGGCGCCTCATAAAATGGTGTTTAGCATGTTACTCAGAAAATTGCTTCTTGGTTTTCCTTTTTGAATTAACGCACTCCGGTTAAAGACTGGTTAAGAAGGGAAAGAGTAGCATCTTGTTCAGTGTTGAGTTATTCCAACAGCATTTTCCACTTTTACAAAGTGGAATATGCGATTCCGTATTCATTAGTGCAAAATAAAGTCCTTTGTGGCAAATGTTCTTAACCATACACAAACACTGAGGGCTTCTAGCCAGAGGTAGGGGGAGAGGTGTTGAGATCACAAAAGAAAGGTCACTCGATCAGAGCAAGCGAGATACTGTCTTTTATTTTGACTGACAAACTTTGGAGTTGCATAGATCTCTGTTTGTGGTTTGCCATTCAAGAGAGGCTTTGGAAACAACAGCAAAGAGTCTTGTGGTGAAATAAAGGTTCACAAATGTATCATGGAATAAGCTTTTGGAGAGAGAGAGAGAGAGAGAGAGAGAGAGAGAGAGAGAGAGCGTGTTTGAGCCAAGTCTCGATGTGTACTTGCTTATCTGCAGTCTTGTGTTGAAGAAAAATGAGTTGTGACAGAGGCTTAATGAGAAGGGGATTAAAATGAAACAGTAGACATCGTAAATGCTATCACATGAACAATTGTGTGTCTTCCTGGTTGCCCCACCTCAAAAAGGAATGAAAGGGCAACTAAAAAAAATCAAGGATAGCATTTTTTTCGGAAATAAGAGGATTAAGCAGAGAGAGGGCTTGGTTAACTAATGTAAAAGAGAATGGAGACAGTTGACATGGAAAGAATGAGTAGGAAACAGTATCTCCCTTTCAAAATACAACTCAGGATTATTTATTGAAGCAGTTAGAGCATTTTATGCTGAGCTAAAGGATAAGCTTAGTTATACAATTGGTAGTTAACTTACGCCATCGATTGCCCCCAGGGTGTTATAAGGAAATGGCGTGGGATTTCTAAAGGATTAATGGAATGTTTTGGAGAAATGGGAATATTGGGAGGTGCAAACTAACACTGCAACCTGTGTGTTACCAGCCACGGGCAACAAATAACAGGAGATGCCTGTCCCTGTCAGATGTTGGTTATGACTTCTTGGATGGTCAGAAGCGCTTCCAGTTTAGATGGATCATTGTTTCGACCCAGAATCACATTGCTTGTGGGTATGTTGACTTCCCATTTCTGCCCAGAATCTAATCTAGGTCAGTGATGTCAAATGGTGATATGGGTTAGACTGGTGCCATAGGAAGCAGTCCATTGGTTTAAACTTGCATAACTTAATATTCCCAGGGCTTGTAATAAGCAGAAATGTGTGACTCCTTTTTGTTTTTGTTTTGTTTCCAAAGTCAGCCAGTGCAAAAGTGACTTGGCAGTTCTTGTATGCAGTTACCTTGTTGGTCACGGCGTATTATGCTGCTGCTGTGGAATTTGTGGAATTCGTTTTGCAAAAACATTATTACCATAAGCTAGGAAGTCGTTAGGGCAAACAGGTGATTCACAGTGCTTTGTTACGAGTTAAGCTGCGTAAATATGAATCGCCCCAAAGTTTTGGTGTTCAGGTTCTTTATCCAGAAGTGGCAGAATGTCGGAGATGGGATGAATTGAGTATGGTTCTGAATGAATACCTCTCCCCTTATTTTGAAGCCATGTTCTTATTGAACTTGAAAACATTCTGTAAGCATGTAAAGGTTTGCTGGCAAAGGTTCTGGACTGGGTCTCGTTCTAGGTTCCACAGAGCTTTCTATCCTGTTTTCCCTCTGTGTTGGTATTGTGGCTCTGAGTGATAGAGGATGTATGTTTCAGCAGAGCTCAGTTGCTTAGAGCATGGTGCTAATAACATCAAGGTCGCAGGTTCAATCCCTGTTTAGGGCAGCTGCATATTCCTGTGTAGCAGGGGGTTGGACTAAATGATCCTCAGGGCCCCTTCCAATGCTATGATTCTATGATTTAATTCAGTCTGTTGAAGTAAAAAGGTAAAGGTAAAGGACCCTGGATGGTTAAGTTCAGTCAATGGTGACGATGGAGTGCGGCGCTCATCTCGCTTTCAGGCCGAGTGAGCCAGCGTTTGTCCAAAGACAGCTTTCTGGGTGATGTGGCCAGCATGACTAAACCGCTTCTGGTGCAGCGGGACACCATGACAGAAACCAGAGCACACAGAAACACCGTTTACCTTCCTGCCACAATGGTACCTATTTATCTACTTGCACAGGCGTGCTTTTGAACTGCTAGGTTGGCAGGAGCTAGGACACAGCAATGGGAGCTCACCTCGTTGCGAGGATTCGAACCGCCGACCTTCCGATCGGCAAGCCCAAGAGGCGCCGTGGTTTCGACCACAGTGCCACCCATGTCTCTCCTCTGTTAAAGTAGCCAGTGCATCACCTTTTATCTGTCCTTTGTGTTAAAGTCAACAGAGGTCTGTTAAGATGTTTTATCTGATGAGAAAATGTAGAGAAAACTCCATTGGCAATTTTTTTTGACTCCATGGTAGCTGACACCTCAAAATTAGGTGGAGACATTGGAGCCAACTCCCAGCAGCCTTGGGGGCTTCAGCCCCCCCAATAAAATATTTGAGGGGTCGAGTCCAAACAAAGTTGGTGGGCATTCCATTCAAATGGGGTGTGTGCACTGCATCATGTGATTGATTATGAGGGGCGGGGCTTACCTGGGCCCCCACAATGTTTTATTCAAGTTGCACCCCTGTGTGGAGATGCTACAGATTCATCTACCCTGCTAAAAGTCTCCCATCAGTATAGTCCAGCATGGTCAATCATGAAATATGTGATGTCCTGTCATCATCCCCAAATAATAATCTGCTATTGTAAAGACTAGTAGATTTATTGTATCCTAAGCTGTTGTGGAGTGGAGCCTTCCAGGCATGAAGAGTCCATATGAACTGGGTCTTGCTCATTCACTGTCTTGACAGCTCTGAGGAGTAAAAAAACTGGTGCAGACTAGAGAATGGTCTGCAGGCACATGAGATCAACACCCTGCTGAAGCTAAGCAGGTCTGGATCTGGTCAGTACTTGGATGGGAGACTGCATGGAAACAACATGTAATAGCACCACTCTATTCTGCCTCTGTCTGACCACACCTGGAATACTGTGTCCAGTTCTGGGCACCACAGTTTAAGAAGGATGTTGACAAGCTGGAACGTGTACAGAGGAGGGCGACCAAGATGTTCAGGGGTTGGAAACCAAGACTTATGAGGAACGCTTGAAGGAGCTGGGTATATTTAGCCTGGAAAAGAGGAGATACGATAACCATCTCCAGATATCTCAAGGGCTATCACGTGGAAGAGGAACAAGCTTGTTTTCTCCTGCTCTGGAGGGTAGGTCTCGAACCAAGGCCTTCAAGTTACAAGAAAGGAGATTCTGACTGAACATATATGGAAAAGCTTTTTGACAGTAAGAGCTGTTTGATGGTGGAACAGTCTCCCTCAGGAGGTTCTGGACTTCCCTTTCTTGGAGGTTTTAAAGCAGAGGTTGGACGGCCATCTGTCATGGATGCTTTAACAGGGAGTTGGACTAGAAGACCCTTGGGTCCCTTCCAACTCTTACGATTCTATGGTGCCTTTGGTTCCATGATAAAAGAAAGGCAGGATTCTGCCCGGACACTGAAATCCAGCGCCGAGGGCCTTCTGGTGGTTCCCTCGCTGCGAGAAGCCAAGTTACAGGGAACCAGGCAGAGGGCCTTCTCAGTAGTGGCACCCGCCCTGTGGAACACCCTCCCACCAGATGTCAAAGAGAAAAACAACTACAGTGGTACCTTAGGTTAAGAACTTAATTCGTTCTGGAGGTCTGTTCTTAACCTGTAACTGTTCTTAACCTGAGGTACCACTTTAGCTAATGGGGATTCCCACTGCTGCCATGCCACCACCATGCGATTTCTGTTCTCATCCTGAAGCAAAGTTCTTAACCCGAGGTACTATTTCTGCATTAGCGGAGTCTGTAACCTGAAGCGTCTGTAACCCGAGGTACCACTGTACCAAACTTTTAGAAGACATCTGAAGGCAGCCCTGTTTAGGGAAGCTTTTAATGTTTAATAGACTATTGCATTTTATTATTTTGTTGGAAGCCGCCCAGAGTGGCTGAGGAAACCCAGCCATAAGGGCGGGGTATAAATAATAAATTATTATTATTATTATTATTATTATTATTATTATTATTATTATATAAAATACAAAGAAAGAATAAGAAGAAACAAGTTCAGAAAGTCTGCTGCTGTGCCCTTGTCCAGAATCCACATTATCACCTAAGCTTTCGGTTGTGTGGAATATAAAAACCAATATAGGTGTAAACAGGATATGTCTGTTAGCCTTCCGGGAGAGTAGACAGTTCCCCTGTGTATTCTGTGCTTAAGCACCTTCTACAGCATAGGCTGATTGTCATGCATGCATGACTGGGATAGCTGTTTGCATATTCTGAGTTGCTTCCTGTATCTTGTTGCGCAAGGCCATTAGCAGCAGAGGTGAGCAGATAAATTAAGTTGATAGGTGACCGACTTTGGTCAGGCATCAGCTAGGTTGCCCCGGGGCTGACACCCTGCGTTGGGGATACATCTAAAGTTGCCGGAATACTTGTTTCCGGCATGCCCCCCCCCCCCCCGTGCCTGCTCCTTTGCAACCCTGAGTCACACAGTATTGCATACTTTGGTTCCTTGGTGTGCGTGTTTGCCTAGCAGAAACAGCTCGGGTTTCCACTTGGCATGCAGGTTTCGTGTCAGATTTTTCATTTCATTTCTGTTTACCATTCCTGGGAGCTGAGCATTCTCTGTTCCAGTCAGTTGGAAAAGCTGTGATAACAGGACACTGGCCTTTGAGGTGTTTTATCTAATAATTCGTTCTGCAAACTTAAGGTTTCTCTGCCGTTCAAGGTTTTTTGTTGCTGTTGTGGGGAGAGGCGTTGTCATGCATATGTTCCGGTTGTTACAGGAGTTGCAGATAACATCGCTGGCCTACTGCAAATGGATTCCGTTTGCTTATGGTAAAGAATATTGGCAGCTAACACAAAACAGCTAGAAGCATTTTCTTCTCCCGCTCTGCTCCAAGCTTTTTATTTGTGGATCTGTCAAAGCCAGGAATCTGGAGGCCAGCTGAAAACAGAGGATGAAGTCTGAGGAGATACCGTATTTTTTGCTCTATAGGACGCACTTTTTCCCCCTCCAAAAATGAAGGGGAAATGTGTGTGCGTTCTATGGGGCGAATGCAGGCTTTCGCTGAAGCCTGGAGAGCGAGAGGGGTCAGTGCGCACTGACCCCTCTCGCTCTCCAGACTTCAGGCAGCTATCCGCAAGCCTTCGGAGCGCTCCAAAGGCTTGCGGATAGCAGCCTGAAGCCTGAAGCCCGGGGAGCGCAGCGCCAACTCCTGCTTCGCTCCCTGGGCTTCAGGCAGCTATCCGCAAGCCTTCTGAGTGCGGCGGGAGTTCCCGCAGGGCTCTGAAGGTTTGCGGATAGCAGCCTGTTCTGGGGGCTGGGGTCGGGGGAAGCTCAGGCTTCCCCTGCCCCCAGCCCCGCAAGCTCAGGGAGCAGCGGCGAGGTTGCACGCAATCTTGCCGCCGCTCCTGGACCTGTTCTGGGGGCTGGGGTCGGGGGAAGCTCGGGCTTCCCCAGCCCCGTGGCTAAAAACGAAGCCAAGACAGTGAGTGGGATCCAAAAATAATAATAATAAAAAAATCTTTATTTCCCCCCCTAAAAATTAGGTGCACCCTATGGTCTGGTGCGCCCTATGGAGTGAAAAATACGGTAGTTCTGTGGTGGAGCAAAGCCCAGCAAAGGCAAACTGAGTTAGGAAAGTGCAGAGCGATTTGCCAACCAAATGTTTCAGTTCTCACCTGACCTGGAGACGTTCCAGCCAGGTTGGGGGAAGGTTAGGCTGCGAGCCAGATGAGGGTGCCCTTGGGAGAGAAAACGTAAGATGCTCAGTATTTTACAGGCCTCCCAAGCTGTCTGACGGGTTGCAGCCTCTATGCCCAGAAGTAAAGAATGGAAGTTTTATAGCCCTGTAGGGTCTGATCTGCCTTTAGGCAAGGCTGTTGGTGGTGAAACTTGATGTGAAACTGTAATCCACATCCCTTCCTACACTGCACAATGTGTGCAAGAAAATCAGATCGGTGTCAGAATCCATGTGGAAATTCTCTTCCTGTATGAATATAGAATAATGATAATTAATAATAATAATCATATTTCATTTATACGCCGCCCATCTGGCTGGGTTTCCCAAGCCACTCTGGGCTGCTTCCAAGACATAAAATCATAATAAAACATCAAACATTAATTGTAACAATCTGATCCAATGTAAAAGTCATAATAACTTTAAAATAAACCATTTATATCAAACAAAGCAACATTCAACAATCCATCAGAATCTAATAGTAAATGGTAAAATTAAACATCAGCAAATAATAATTAAACAGTTCAACCGAGTAACAGCAAATCACAATGCATAAAGTAACACAAAAGATACAAAACCATGTAAAAGGATCAAATTGAGAAACAAAGAAGCACAACTTATAAAATATATACAGTGGAACCTTGGTTCTCGAACACCTTGGTACTCAAACATTTCGGCTCCTGAATGCTGAAAACTCAGAAATAAGTGTTCCTGTTTCCGAACGTTTTTCGGAAGCTGAACATCTGATGCGGCTGTCGGCTGTTGCTTCCGGGGTGCCTGCGCCAATCGGAAGCCGCACCTTGGTTTTCGAACGTTTTGGAAGTCGAGCGGACTTCCGGAACGGATTATGTTTGAGAACCAAGGTACCACTGCATATATATCCCTGAACTGCTCTATTCTCTGCTGCTGCTCTCAAAGTCATAGTCTGGGAAAGGCTAGTTGGGGCAAGGCAGGTGGAAAAGCCATTTCCTTATGAGGAACAGAAAGTCTCTCTCCACTGCCCAGTGGTTAAAACAATGAAAGGGTCTTCTCTGTGGTGGTTCCTGGCACCTACTGGAACCACCGTGGTCTTTTTCCTTGAAATAAAAGGCAGTGTAACTGTAACAAAAATGAATACGTACAGTGGTACCTCTGGTTAAGAACTTAATTCATTCTGGAGGTCTGTTCTTAACCTGAAACTGTTCTTAACCTGAAGCACCACTTTAGCTAATGGGGCTTCCTGCTGCCGCTGCGCCGCCGGACGCACGGTTTCTGTTCTCATCCTGAAGCAAAGTTCTTAACCTGAGGTAATATTTCTGGGTTAGCGGAGTCTGTAACCTGAAGCGTATATAACCTGAGGTACCACTGTAGTAGTTTTAGGCAGTGTTAGAAACTCAGATATATAAGTTAGGTGCCTAATGGCGCCTTAAATCTGGGTTACGGTCGCCAGAATGGAATATCTATTCACCAGGAGGTTGTTGTAGATGACCCTCAGAGTCCCTCCGGGGCGGAGGAAGGGGGTTGCTATGGGGGCGGGCCGCCCCGGGTGTCACCACTGATGGGTGGTATATACCTTATATATATAACTTATATATAGCAAAGGGAAGTCTATAGCAATTAGGTATATTTTAATCTAGTCCATTATGTAATAGGTTTATGTTACAAAACGAATATGGATTTTGAATTTGATGTTTGTAATTCTTTTTCGGTTTTGAAATAAACTTTAAAAAAAGGAAATGGTATTAACTATGCACAAAGGCAGAGGTTTTTAAACTGTGGGCACCAGCCTGGCACCCAAAAATCTCCGTGTAGTTGGACCCGTGCCAGTAGCAAAATTAGCCGAGCACCTGGGGAACTCCAAACACTGGATGTATGTGAAGATAGCTTAATATGTATACATTTAGGAAACTGCTTCTTGGATGGGGTTTTACAGTTCCCAAGGTCCAGGATCTGTTTTATACAGTATAGATGCAAGAGCTACTCAGTCGAGAAATATCTCTTTTAGACAACGTAAGAAGGAATTGAGCTTTTAGGCCACAAGGCAGCTGCTTAATAGTTAACCTCGTTTCGTATTAATCGACTCTGGGTGTGTCAAACCTGTTTTTATGAGAAGCTCCTGGTTTCGTGTGTCGATAAAACAACCTGCCAGGTTTACAGGAGCCTTAATAGTTCCCTGGACTTTGGCCAGTGGGGTTTGTGTGACATCTGCATGGTGGAAATGCAAGCGCTAATTGAAGGGTCAGGGTACTGCTGGTCTTCACGAAGAAGATCTTCAGGAGTTCAGCATCTGCCCACACAGATCTGATTTCAGAGATCCGGGTATCAGTAGTGTTGCGACTTTCCCAAGAGAGATTGTACAATCTCCATAATTACTGAGTAGTAGGCCCGGCAGAATTACCAGGGTTTTCTGTTGTAGGACATGGGTGGGATAGCAGATTAAGTCACCTTGTAAATCCCACAAATGCATTCCACTCTGGGGAACAGTTGCATATAAAGTGGGGCCCATAACTGCAAGTCTAGGTGTGGGGAAAACACCTTCCAGTTAGCCACACACACTACCCTCTTTTTAATGAGCAGAAGTTTATAGACTCTAAGCCTGCTTCATTTTTCCCAGATTAAAATGGATGAGGTTTACCTTTTTAACCTTTAGAAGACATCTGAAGCTTTTGAAGGTTTCATGTACAGTGGAACCTCGGTTTTTGATCGTTTCAGAAGTCAAACATTCCGGCTTTTGAATGCCCAAAACCCAGAGGTACCGTATTTTTCGCTCTATAAGACACACCTTTTCCCTTCCAAAAATTATGGGGAAATGTGTGTGCGTCTTATGGAGCGAATGCAGGCTCCGTGGCTTCAGCGAAAGCAATGCGAAGCCTCTGAAGCGCAGCAGGAGCGCTTCTGCCGCACTCCGGAGGCTTCGCGTTGCTTTCGCTGAAGCCTGGAGAGCAAGAGGGATTGGTGCGCACCGATCCCTCTTGCTCTCCTGGCTTCGCTGGAGAAGCGCTGCGCAGCTTTCCCTCTCTGCGCAGCGCCCCTTCAGCGAAGCAGGAGGAGAAATGGAAGGGGCTCCGTTTCTCCTGCCGCTTCGCTGAAGGGGCGCTGCGCAGAGAGGGAGTGATTTTTTTTTCTCTTGTTCTCCCCCTCTAAAACCAGGTGCGTCCTATGGTCGGGTGTGTCCTATAGAGCAAAAAATACAGTAACTGCTTCGGTTTTTGAATGATTTTCGGAAGCTGAATATGCCACTTGGCTGCCATTTTGAGTTTTTGGTTTTCTCACTTTTCGGAAGTCAAAGGGTCTTCCCAGATGGATTATGTTCGAAAACCAAGGTTCCACTGTATTAGTATGTTTCTATATATGTTGGAAGCCACCCAGAGTGGCTGGGTCAATGCAGTCAGATGGGCAGGGTACAAAATATTATTATTATTAATAATAATAATAATAATAATTTGCTTGATTTGTTAAGCTTAGCCCTACTCTTGGTCCATTAGGCAGGAATGGGATGGGTCATATGATTGAAACCTTGTTCTCTCTCATCTTTATATGTGCTTGTGTTCATTTAAAAACTCCCCGCACATCAGCTCTGTATATTGTCTTTTTCGTATGCTGAACCTCCTGTATTTTCTGTGGAATACTAATTAGAAAAGGGGATGGCACAGTACAGTTGGCCAATATATCCCTAGGAAGCTGTAGAATTGACTCCTTTGGTGGAAGCTGTAAACAGACCTCACGGTTCAGGGTCTACTAGAGTTGTGCAGATCCTTTTCGCTCCTGCCTTTGTTCAGATTGTTAGACCGCGGTAGCCCAGGAGGCTGCTTCTAGCGTCTGCAAATCTTGATGGTGCAACCTTAATTTCCTTTTGCAATTTGACCTGGGGGCAAAATGCTCTTTGCTGAATGTTCGCCGTGTTTCCCAAGGTTTCAGCAACTGGGTTGCACATTTATAGACTCTTCTTCCTTCCCGTAAGCTCCAGCCCTCTAAACCCCTGTCTTGCCTGGGGCACAAAAACTGCACCCTTTTTTAAAGAACTGTTCAAGGTGTTGCTGAAAGAACCTTTATGGTGCTAAAGAAAATTGGGGTTTATTATTATTAATTTTTTAAGACTGGTGGTAGCAACCCAGCAAACAAGTGCTGTAACTTTGGAATAAATGACTCAGTTTGCTATTTGGCCATCGGTGGCAGGAGTTGGGGAGGGGGACTAGTGGGCCTCTGCCGAATGTTATTGGATTCGAACTCACAACACCACTGACCATTGGCCATGATGGCAGTTGAATCTCACGTTGATGCTGGTTTTCTGCTGCATCTGGCAACATCAAACTAGCTTAAGGGGGTACACAGCAGTCTGTGTGGCACACACAGCTTTGACTGCTCCCCTCCCCTCAGTATTTGCCACCCGAGGCACCTGCCCCATCCTACCTCATGGTAGAGTCACCCCTGCTCAGGGGACCTTTTCTTCACAAAGCCATTCAGTGTGTAGGACAGTACAGTTAGGTGAATGTGTAATTCACATTATACCTGAAGGAGCGTCTCCACCCCCCATCTTTCAGCCCGGACACTGAAGTCCAGCTCTGAGGACCTTCTGGTGGTTCCCTCACTGTGAGAAGTGAGGCTACAGGGAACCAGGCAGAGGGATTCAGATGCTTCGCCTAGTTGAAATCAATGACAGGGTTGCACCGATCTAATTGAGTTCAAGATGTGGCCCATTAACTGCATTACCTCTCCTCAAAATCGTAGCTTAGCTGTTTAGCCCTTGCTTGCCTAGGGAAAAGGCACTAATCGGAGTTTTGTTCTTAATTCCTTCGCATAATTTAAATAAGACTGTCTTAAGAGCGCAAGATCTCTTTGAAGCGCTCTCTGCAGGCAATGGGGTGAGCTGATTAACATGTCTTTCATGCACTCTGGTTTTTAAAAGGCCCCATTCAAGCCAAAACTTTTTGGCAGCTGTGAGTTGCTTGGCTTCTCAAATGGCAGTATACCCTGCTCCCCATTCCCCCCCCTTTTTTTAAAAAAGTAGAAGTTCTGTATCCTGTGAGTGGTGTTTTCTCCTGACATCCTTGCACATTTCTTCTCCCGAGAGCCTGCGTACACTGAGGGAAAGCTGCTTTTTAAAACAGGTTTAAAAATGCTGTTTTCAGTTAAGCCTAAGTTAACTTAGGTTAACTTAGTTAGCAGTTAACTTAGAAGAGAAGACTCCCTGGAAAAGACCCTGATGTTGGGAAAGATGGAGGGCACAAGGAGAAGGGGATGACAGAGGACGAGATGGTTGGACAATGTTCTTGAAGCTACCAGCATGAGTTTGACCAAACTGCGGGAGGCAGTGGAAGACAGGAGTTCCTGGTGTGCTCTGGTCCATGGGGTCACGAAGAGTCGGACACGACTAAACAACAACAAAAATAGTTTTTAAAATTCTGTTTTCAGTTAAGCCTAAGTGGTTGGCGTGTGCCCAATGCTCCTATAGCTCAAGCTTTTGCTTTGAAATATTTATTGGCACTTCACTGTAGATGTAGATCACTTTCTTCATGTTTATGTTTGTCCTAGCTTTGTAATATTGTAATATTGGTACTAGTTTTGGGCAACTGCCATAACTGAATAATCAAAACGATCATTATTTAGCTAGGCTGCTAAATTTGACAGCTCTCAGGCCCCTTGCACCACACTGTATATTTAAAGCCACATCCAACCACATTGAACAGTAATGGCTATGCCCTGAGAATCCTGGGGGAATAATCTTTGTTAAGGGCACTGAGGGTTGGTAGGAGACCCCCTATTCCCCTCACACAGTGTTAGAAACTCAGATGTATAAGCTAGGCGCCAAATGGCTCCTTAAACCAGGGTTACAGTCGCCAAAACGGAATGCCTAGTTGCCATTTTGGGGCCAGATGGCTCAAAAGTTGTATTTTTCAATACGGATTTTTGGTTCCTGAAATTATTTCCCCCCCCCATTATATTTTATTAAATTTCAACATTTTTAACATACACAATAAAAACGTAATTCTTTTTTCTTTTTGGGGTAGCCTTCCCACCCCATTTTCCGTGGTCTTGTTGTTTTTCCCATTCTGCTGCACCCTTTTTTAGTTCCTGAAATTCATTCTGATAAAATACAGTTTTTGGGAAAAGGAAGTGCAGCCTCTTTGAATTCGCATATGTAAAACCTTCTGTGGTTTTGCATATGAGGACATAATAACAATCATTTGTCCCTTAGCAGGTCTTAAAATTATATAAATACAAGCTCGGATGAACAGCAACACAAGACATATTACATCTGTGTCATGATCTATTTAACAGAAATAAAGCCAAAATGGAGAACAGGAGGTGTTGCTAGTTTGTGAAAACAGACAAAATCCAGGGATCCACAGGCGTGCACCTCCAGATGGTAGGGGCATCAGGTGCCATGCTGGTGCCTAGGCATCTTCACTTGGTCACAAGTGGCGGATAGTCAGGTGCAAAATGCGCCTGACACCTGACAAATTGCGAATGCTGCCCTCTCAGAACTACAATTCCCAGAATTCCCTGGGAAAGGGGATTGGCTGTTAAAGCACCCTGGGTACTGTAAGTCTGTGACAGGACTAGGGTGTCTGCTTTCACAGCACCCTTAACGAAAGGACAGCTCCTATGAGTCTTTGGGGAGAGTCATTACCATTGAAAGTGGTGTGAAACAGCTTTAAATGTGTGGTACAGACGGGACCAGGATGAGAGTGCTCAGAGGCCTGATGTGTAACAACAACAACAACAACAACAACAACAACATATTATTTATACCCCGCCCATCTGGATGGGTTTCCCCAGCCACTCTGGACGGCTCCCAACAGAATATTAATAATAATTATTTAAAAGCGATAAATCATCAAACATTAAAAACTTCCCTAAACAGGGCTGCCTTCAGATGTCTTCTAAAAGTCAGATAGTTTTTTATCTCCTTGACATCTGATGGGAGGGCGTTCCACAGGGCAGGTGCTACTACCAAGAAGGCCCTCTGCCTGGTTCCCTGTAGCCTCACTTCTCGCAGTGAGGGAACCGCCAGAAGGCCCTCAGAGCTGGACCTCAGCTTCCGGGCTGAATGATGGGGGTGGAGATGCTCCTTTAGGTATACTGGGCCGAGGCCGTTTAGGGCTTTAAAGGCCAGCACCAACACTTTGAATTGTGCTCGGAAACATACTGGGAGCCAATGTAGGTCTTTCAGGACAGGTGTTATATGGTCTCGGTGGCCACTCGCTGACACCAGTCTAGCTGCCGCTTTCTGGATTAGTTGTAGTTTCCGGGTCACCTTCAAAGGTAGCCTCACGTAGAGCACATTGCAGTAATGGTCCTGATGGGGAGAATCTCTCTCTCTTTCTCTCTGCAGCTCCTTGACATGTGCATGCAGAACTGTGGCCCAAGTTTCCAGGCTCTGGTTGTGAGAAGGGATTTCTGCAAAGACAGACTCGTGAAGCTGCTGAATCCAAGGTTCAACCTCCCTGTTGATATGCAGGAGAAAATCCTGACCTTTATCATGGTAAGTGCTTCTTTTCTATCTTTCCCATTTTTCCAGTGTTGCCCGGGTAGTAAATGGTTCATGAGAGCTGTACTGTGAAGCGAAGTCTCTGCTAGTTCGCCTTCCTTTTTATCTTAAGCCATGGTTGGAAAGCAGCAAAGCTATGGGGAGAGTAAGAGAAAGTTGGGCAAGAAGATAGCTGGCTATTGGCCTTGCTTTTAAGCCATTCCTTTGTTGTCCTGTCAAGTTCCTTGGCTGCTGCTATTGAGAAAAAGGAGGGCTATTGCATAGTGTTAGCTCTGTTCTCAGTGTCTCTATTAAAAAAGCAAACAAAAGAATTGCCATTCTGCCAGTCAACCAACAAAAAGTTGAGTGTCTTGGCTTTGTGTGGGTGGGAAAGCGAGAGTTTGTTTACACCACCAGTTAGCTTGAAATCACAAACCGGTGAACTCGTTTCTGCCCTCCACTTGATCAGCTTCAAACCTGTTTGCATTGTATAGTGGGGCAGCCAGCCTGGATTCCCTCCTAGGGATTTCTTGTTTGGTTGCATCATTCACAAAAGAGAATTTTTCCTTTTCCTTTTTTATAATGAGTTTTATTCAATTTTGAAAACTTAAAACACTAACTTCAAATTCAATACAGGTACCTTGGTTCTCAAACTTAATCCATTCCGGAAGTCCGTTCCAAAACCAAAATTGTTCCAAAACCAAGGCACGTTTTCCCATATAAAGTAATGCAGAACGGATTAATCCATGGCAGACTTTTAAAAACAATGCCTGAAGCAGCAATTTAACGTGAATTTTACTATCTAACAAGACCATAAATCCATAAAATGAAAGCAATAAAGAACGTACTGCCTCCACACAATCAACCAATCAATCAATCAATCAATCAATCAATCAGTAGCTGAACTAGGTTCCACGCAGTCACAAAAACAAACAGAAAAAGAGCTGCAAAAACACAAAATAAATAGCAAAAACAGACAGACCTCAGCGTAACACTCAAAATGGAAGTGTGGCACTCAAAACAGAAGCATAACACTCAAAACGGAGCATGTTTGGCTTCCGAAAACAGTTCGCAAACGGGAACACTTATCTCCGGGTTTGCAGTGTTTGGGTTCCAAGTTGTTTGAGTACCAAGGCATTTGAGAACCAAGGCACCACTGTATAATGAAGGTGCCAGGCGAGTGTCCCTGGGGAGAGCATTCCACAGATGGGGAGCCACTGCAGAGAAGGCCCCGTTCTCATGTTGCTGCTCTCCAGACCTCTTGATCTCAGGGTCCGGGCAGGTTCATATGGAAAGCGGCGGTCCTTGAGGTATATTGCGCTCTTTGCAGGCGTTTCCCACACAATGCCATCACTTGGTCTGTAGACGCAAGGAGAGGTTTGAAAGAAGCTCAGCCATCCCTGGGGAAATCGGAGACCTCTGCTTTTGTCTCAAAATGAGCCACCTTCTAAACAATAGCGAGGTTATTAGTTCTGGCAGGTGATCCATGGGTGATTGAATATAGTCAACAATGATGCCTTATTCAGTAAGCAACTGTTATTTTGGAATGAATTGTGTAAGGGAGCAACCTCTTGCGTGTCGAGGCCACCCAGGACACCCCCAAATAACGACACAGTTCACACAACATTTTTGTTTGGGTTTTTGGCATAATTCTGGACACAACGTTATTGAATTACAGTATGTGAGTGGTTGCTTAGGCATTGGTTAGCGACTATCTGTTCCCACATAGAGGTAGGAACAGAACTGACAACCACAAGCCTGCGGAAGTCAGTAAGGGTAAACATTTTTGGGGAAAGAATAGAGCTGGGTGCCAGGCTCTCACCTCTCCCCAAACGCTCCCAGGGTCTCTTGCATGGCCCTAGCCTCTTCCCAGGGATTCGGACAAGAGCATGGCGAGCCCCTGGATTCCTTTACCAGAATACCCTTGCAGCAGTAGCATTGGAGAGGCAGACATCCAACCACATCTCCTCCATGAACCAAAATTAACTAATGCCTAACCACAACCTTAGGGGCGCGGGTGGCGCTGTGGGTTAAACCACAGAGCCTAGGACTTGCCGATCAGAAGGTTGGCGGTTTGAATCCCCGCGACGGGGTGAGCTCCTGTTGCTCGGTCCCTGCTCCTGCCAACCTAGCAGTTCGAAAGCACTCAGAGTGCAAGTAGATAAATAGGTACCGCTCCGGCGGGAAGGTAAATGGCGTTTCCGTGCACTGCTCTGGTTCGCCAGAAGCAGCTTAGTCATGCTGGCCACATGACCCGGAAGCTGTAAGCCAGCTCCCTCGGCCAATAAAGCGAGATGAGCGCCGCAACCCCATAGTTGGCCATGACTGGACTTAATGGTCAGGGGTCCCTTTACCTTTACCAACCGCAACCTTACAAGTTGTGACCATTTGCTACAAAGTAGGCAAAAAAGGCTGATCGCTGAAGAATTGATGCTTTTGAATTCTGGTGCTGGAGGAGACTCTTGAGAGTCCCATGGACTGCAAGAAGATCAAACCTCTCCATTCTTAAGGAAATCAGTCCTGAGTGCTCACTGGAAGGACAGGTCCTGAAGCTGAGGCTCCAATACTTTGGTCACCTCATGAGAAGAGAAGACTCCCTAGAAAAGATCCTGATGTTGGGAAAGATGGAGGGCACAAGGAGAAGGGAACAACAAAGGACAAGATGGTTGGACAGTGAAGCTACCAGCAGGAGTTTGACTAAACTGCGGGAGGCTGTGGAAGACAGGAGTGCCTGGCATGCTCTGGTCCACGGGGTCACGAAGAGTCGGACACGACTAAATGACTAAACAACAAAGCAAAAAAAACCCAAATGGCACCAGCCAATCAGCCAATTGGTAAAAATTCCTACCAGGCCCCTGTTCCAAAGCAGACGTCCCCATGACAGGCATAGCAAGGTCAGCACGAACAAACCCTAAATATAGGGAGGGTGGGTGGGTAATCCGATGTGCGCGGCGAAAAGAGGAAGCTCAACGCTGCATATAGGGAATAAATAGCAACCCCACCAATCAAACAATTTTGCAACATCTCTCCAGCAACAATTGGAGTTGCCCTATCAAATTTGTGTCCATTCATACTAAAACTGCCCAGCAACAGGGGATATCATGGTTGCCCCCACCGCAACATGTGCTCCCCATCAAGGTGAACCCGCTTTGTTCAAACAAGACCTGAGAGGCACACACTCTTTAGTTTCCACCCTCCTCTAGCTGCTACGGTTTCTTGGCCTGCCATCCACCTACCCAAAGTCAAACCCGCCTGAGATCCTGTCAAACTAGACAGGCGAATGAGGAATGAGGAAGAGATATGAGAGTTGCAGAGTAGCAGAGTTGCGCTTTAATGCGTTGTGTCGCCTTTTGAAAAACACTGAGAATGGGATGAGTTGAGACAGCACCTGTGAATGGATGGGAGCAGGTTGTGATATTGGGGGGGGGGAGAGAGCTGAAAGAAATGACAGCATTTTCTTCTTTGTAGGGTTGCTTTGTGATGCATCTCTCACTGTGTATTCCTACCATTGCTATGCCAACTTTGAAACTATTTATTTCATCAGGTTTCAAACAGGGTGGATTTGATTTAAATCAATTCAATTTAAATCACTGGGGGATCGGGTGGCGCTGTGGGTAAAACCCAGTGCCTAGGACTTGCCGATCGTATGGTCGGCGGTTCGAATCCCCGCGGCGGGGTGAGCTCCCATCGTTCGGTCCCAGCTCCTGCCCACCTAGCAGTTCGAAAGCACCCTTAAGTGCAAGTAGATAAATAGGGACTGCTTTACAGCGGGAAGGTAAACGGCGTCTCCGTGTGCTGCGCTGGTGCTGGCTCGCCAGAGCAGCTTTGTCACGCTGGCCACGTGACCCGGAAGTGTCTTCGGACGGCGCCGGCTCACGGCTTCTAGAGCGAGATGAGCACGCAACCCCAGAGTCGGACACGACTGGCCCGTACGGGCAGGGGTACCTTTACCTTTTAATTTAAATCACTAGTCAACAAGACTTGATTTAAATCTCTTTTTTTGACAGAAAGGCTTATTCTTGCTGGTATAATCTTCATATTTAGGACCAGATGAAGGTTTCATTTTTGGAATAATAAATTTTCAGAGTAGTTTTTACAGTTCTATCCAAAATGACTGATTTGGTTATACTATTAGAAATACAGTGGTACCTCTGGTTACGTACTTAATTCGTTCTAGAGGTCTGTTCTTAACCTGAAACTGTTTTTAACCTGAAGCACCACTTTAGCTAATGGGGCCTCCCGCTGCTGCTGCGCGATTTCTGTTCTCATCCTGAGGCAAAGTGCTTAACCCGAGGTACTATTTCTGGGTCAACGGAGTCTGTAACCTGAAGCGTATGTAACCTGAAGCGTATGTAACCCAAGGTACCACTGTACATAGACAGATAATTATGAAATTAAGGCGAGGTTTAATAAGTTAACTGTTTATAGTTGGACAACCTTTCTGCTGTACTTTTATTGAAAGGAGAAAAATAAACATGTCCTTAATAACATTTTAAACAATTTATTTAACTAAAACAATAAAATTATAGCATATGCATTCATGTTTGTTAACTGATGTGGTTATTTTTTTAAAAAAAAACACACACACACCTTAGACTGAGTTTTAGCACACATGAAAAACTTAAAACAAATCCTTATTTCCTGATGAAATATAGCCTTTGGACTATAATGTAACTTAAATAGAAAACTACCTTTCAAAAGATTTTTCCTCCAAAAGCATTTTATTTTAAAAATCCAATTTAAATAAAAAAAACCACCCCAATTTAAATTTAAAAATCTGATTTTTAAAAAATCATTGATTTTTATCCACCCCGGTTTCAAATCACATTTTGTGCAGTATTGCCTCCCAAATTGCTTCATAGCCGTATGCAAGAATGCAACTATAAAACTTTTTTAAAGGGGGAGGGAAACCCCACTGCAATTGTTTTTCTCTTATCCCCATTCTGTGAAAGAGGAACTGTGTCAAACCTTTGGCCGATCATATCTGTTTCACTGGGTATGTTACAGACCTTGGTGAAATATGGACCAAAATATGCTTTTTGTAAATACAGTTGCACCTTGGAAGTCGAACGGAGTCCGTTCCGGAAGTCCAATCGACTTCCAAATGGTTTGCAAACCAAAGCGCAGCTTCTGATTGGCTGCAGGAAGGACCTGCAGCCAATTGGAAGCTGCAGAACCCACATCAGGTGTTTGGGTTCCAAAGAACATTTGCAAACTGGAACACTCATTTCCGGGTTTGCAGTGTTTGGAAGCCAAAGCGTCCAAGTACCAAGGCGTTGGGGATCCAAGGTATGACTGTACAGTGGTACTTCGGGTTACATACACTCCAGGTTACATACGCTTCAGGTTACAGACTCCGCTAACCCAGAAATATTACCTCGTGTTAAAAACTTTGCTTTAGGATGAGAACAGAAATCGTGCTCCAGTGGCGCGGCGGCAGAGGAGGCCCCATTAGCTAAAGTGGTGCTTCAGGCTAAGAACAGTTTCAAGTTAAGAACGGACCTCCGGAATGAATTAAGTACTTAGGGACGCGGGTGGCACTGTGGGTTAAACCACAGAGCCTAGGACTTGCCGATCAGAAGGTTGGTGGTTCGAATCCCCGCGACGGGGTGAGCTCCCGTTGCTCGGTCCCAGCTCCTGCCGACCTAGCAGTTCGAAAGCACATCAAAGTGCAAGTAGATAAATAGGTACCGCTCCGGCGGGAAGGTAAACGGCATTTCCGTGCGCTGCTCTGGTTCGCCAGAAGCGGCTTAGTCATGCTGGCCACATGACCAGGAAGCTGTACACTGGCTCCCTCGGCCAATAAAGCGAGATGAGTGCCGCAACCCCAGAGTCGGTCATGACTGGACCTAATGGTCAGGGATCCCTTTACCTTTACCTTTACCACTGTATTGGCAGTTGTGGGGGTATGTGTGTATGTGTGGAAACCTTAATTCTGTTTCAGCAGCTTTTCTCTTTCCTTTTAAAAAAGACTTGGGCCCGAGGATTTCAAGGAGTTGTGGATGTCAGCGATGTCAAGGAGGTGTACTTGGAGCTGCTTAAGAAAGGAGTCGAGTTTCCATCCTTGGGAAGCAACAATGGGACCAAGAAGGTAGGAATACTCTTGTGGCACTTCCCCGATTGGAAACAGGATATTATCCTTGCAAAATCTGCATGTGTGGCAGAGTTGTGCCGGTTAATTAAAAAACAATAATGCACATTTGACAGTGATTTCCATGCTTAGGAAACCAGTCATACGTTTCTGCCTTGGAGCATTTAAAAATCTGAGAGTGGGAGGAATTGTTTTTTTGAAACAGGAAATGTTGAGGTTGAGGTGCTTAAAACTGCCCACGAGATCCAGAATCCCAGTTTCATCTCTGTGGGTTAATGCAAATGTAGGCATCCGGATTGCCTTCTGGGCTTTGTAAATTTCCGCCAAAATAAAAACAAATCTTGACACGTGCAGGCAAAGCACAAGGCATATTTGGAAGGTAGGATAGGAAGGAGGGAAGAGTGTAAAATTGGATATAAAGCACATTATGGACTTAAAAAAAGAAAGTAAGGAGCCTTTTACTTTAAAATGAGGCTGCATTTTAATGTTTTAATGTTGTAGTTCAATCTTGTTTTTTAAGTTGTATTTCAATCAACTTGTTTTTATTATTGTTTGTTAGCCCGGTCTTGGCTGGGGAGGGCAGGGTATAAATAAAATATGTTGTTGTTGTTGTTGTTGTTATCCAGGCTTCATGGTGACTGGGAAATAACCTCACAGTTTTTTACCTGATTAACTTAGGCACAGAATAGAATGCAGAATAATATTTATTTGCCAAGTGTAGTACTAATTTCTCATTTTAAGTATTGTAGAGTATGGAGTTATGCGTGCCCCTGAGCCAAGGCAGCCCTGTATAGGGAAGTTTTTTTTTTTTAATGTTTAATGTTTCGTTATGTTTTTATATATGTTGGAAGCCGCTCAGGCAGAAGCCCAGCCAGATGTGTGGGGCATAAATAATAAAATAGGAGTAGTAGTAATAAGAATTCTTGCTGTTGTTAAATAGGGCGTCCCTGTTTTCATTGGAGGGTATGAAACAATATAACGGGTTTATGGTTCCCCAAACAACAACACCCTAATATCTTATTGCATTGTGTATCCACAGCCTTTGCCTCCGGTCTCCACAAAAGCATCATACGGTAGTCCCAGGAGGGGCATTTTAGGATCCCATCCCCCATCTACAGTCATAACACTGATTCCCGAACAGGTAAAGTGCCACTATTCTTTTTAATATTTTGCAACTCAAAGAGTTCATTGTCATAACCCGCTGGCTTGACACTGGAGCTTCTAAATCTTTTATTTACTTACAGTAGCTGTACGTAAATACAGCTGGATAGCTTAGAACAATAACCCACCGAAAATGTGATGGCAATCAGCAGAACAATAAAAAAAAAACTACATAAATATATTAACGGCAGCAAGGAAAACAGTATAAAAAATACCTTTATCTGGCACCGAAAGGAGTATAGGGCAGGCACCAGGCGGTTCTATAAGAGGGCATTCTATAAGAGAGTAAAAAGGTAAAGGTAAAGGACCCCTGACAGTTAAGTCCAGTCGCAGATGACTCTGGGGTTGTGGCGCTCATCTCGCTTTACAGGCCGAGGGAGCCGGCTTTGTCTGCAGACAGTTTTTCCGGGTCATGTGACCAGCATGACTAAGCCACTTCTGGCGAACCAGAGCAGTGCACGGAAATGCCGTTTACCTTCCCGCCAGAGCGGTACCTATTTATCTACTTGCACTGGTGTGCTTTTGAACTGCTGCCCAGAGTGGCTGGAGCAACCCAGTCAGATGGGTGGGGTATAAATAGTAAAATTATTACTATTATTATGGAATAGGAAGTTCCTATTTTCACCAGGGAAGTGTTGGAGGGTATGCAATGTTTATGCATTCTCATAGAGAATCTGTGTGGCACTTAATCCCTGATGCGTGCATTTAGGATTGCAGCCTTAGTTCAGCATTGAATTTTCTAATGGGGTAGCCAAAGGCCCTAAGAAACTTACAACCAGATATAATAATAATAGTAATAATTTTGTTATTTATTCCCTATGCATCTGGCATGGTAAACCAGCCCTGCAATAGATATGTCTCACGCTGCAAAGCTGGCAGGACTTTCAGAGCCCAAACCACGACATGCAAAATAATTTTTGCCTTGTATTTTGCTGCGTTATGGTCCTGAACAGATTGGAAAGCTGTACAGCGAACTGGATATGGTAAAGATGAACGTGAGGGTCATGTCAGCCATCCTGAAGGAAAACGTCCCTGGATCAGAAAAACCAGATGATATGGAGCTTCTCCAGGTATAGTATGCCCTTTTGCTGGGATAGTTAATGAAAAGCAAAAGTGTGTGTGGGTGTATTACAAGATTGTTATTGTACTTCACCAGATCTTAACCTATTACAGTATTTGTAGGAATGGATTCCAAATATAATTGAATTTGTCCATGGAAAGTCTGTGTTTATATGCAAGTTGTTCATATCTTGCAAGTCTGTCTAAGTCTTCAATACAGTCGTAGAAGGGAGCTGCGGTTTTATTTTTGCAATTCATCAGTATCAGTCTTTTTGCTGTGATAAGGGCATTGAGAATCCACTTGCGTTGTACTTTTGTAAGGTTCCATGTTCTGGGTATATAATTCAAGAGGATATTTTGCTCTGTAAATGTAAGGTTGTTCCACACAGTTCTGTTGATGGTTTCAGTTACCTTTTCCAAAAATCTTTCAATATAGCACAATGGAAAAACACATGTTTTAGAGGAGCATTATACCATTGCATCTCTAACAGTTAGATACAGTGGTACCTCGGGTTAAGTACTTAATTCGTTCCGGAGGTCCGTTCTTAAGCTGAAGCACCACTTTAGCTAATGGGGCCTCCTGTTGCTGCCGCGCCACCGGAGCACGATTTCTGTTCTCATCCTGAAGCAAAGTTCTTAACCCGAGGTAATATTTCTGGGTTAGTGGAGTCTGTAACCTGAAGCGTATGTAACCTGAAGCGTATGTAACCCGAGGTACCACTGTACCTTAAAGGGTAAAGGGACCCCTGACCATTAGGTCCAGTCGTGGCCAACTTTGGGGTTGCGGCGCTCATCTCGCTTTATTGGCCGAGGGAGCCGGCGTACAGCTTCCGGGTCATGTGGCCAGCATGACTAAGCCGCTTCTGGCGAACCAGAGCAGCACACAGAAACGCCGTTTACCTTCCCGCTGGAGCGGTACCTATTTATCTACTTGCACTTTGACATGCTTTCGAACTGCTAGGTTGGCAGAAGCAGGGACCGAGCAATGGGAGCTCACCCTGTTGCAGGGATTCGAACTGCCAACCTTCTGATTGGCAAGTCCTAGGCTCTGTGGTTTAACCCACAGTGCCACCCGCGTCCTGTTAGATACCTTAGCTAGCCCTTTTTAAAAAACAAATGTAATAGCGTCCAATGTATTCCAAATATTATTTTTTGTTGTATGAGCCTCAGTTTAAGCTCCAGAGGCACCCTTGCTATAGCAGTTTAAACAGTAGTTAATGAAAAGCAAATGTGATGGAATATGTGGAATCTCAAGGCATTAATTTGCACTCTGGATTATCAAGGAGTGGGACCCAGCACCAGTGTCTAGTTTCCCTCGCAAGACGAAATGAATGGTGCCTCGCAAGACGAAATTAATCCGTTCCGCGAGTCTCTTCGTCTTGCGGTTTTTTCTTCTTGCGAAGCACGGCTATTAGCGGCTTAGCGGCTTAGCGGCTATTAGCGGCTTAGCGGCTATTAACGGCTTAGCAGCTTTAAGAAAAAGGAAACAAACTCGCAAGACATTTTGTCTTGCGAAGCAAGCCCATGGGGAAATTCGTCTTGCGGAATGACTCAAAAAACAGAAAACTCTTTCGTCTTGCGAGTTTTTCGTCTTACGAGGCATTCGTCTTGCGGGGCACCACTGTACTGGGGTGGAACACTGGGTGCTGCCACCATGGGCAGCTGTGGGGACAGGCAGGGGCAGCCAGCCTAGGACTGTGAGAAAACCCCCAGGTAAAGTAACTGCAGCTACCATCTTGATTTCTCCAGAGTTCTAGAGTGGGGTCCAGAGATAGTCTAGGGAAATTAAGATGGCAGTGTCTGCAGCCCCTTGGCCCATTCCCGTTCCTCTTAATCTGTGCCAGTTCTAAAATGTAAAAAGAGAAGAAGAAAAGGTTTAAAACAGGGGTGTCCAAACTTTTCTCAAAGAGGGCCAGATTTGATGAAGAGAACATGCATGAGGGCCGACCAGGGATGTTGACATTTCTTTTTAGAATTGGAGTTATTGGGGGGTTTTGGGATTTCCCCCCAAAGTTGTTGAGGTTTTTTTAGGATTGAAGTTGCCCCAAATCGACCAGCGGCTGGACTTTGGGCATTCCTGGTTTAAAAGAACCGAAGAGATCCCAGCATCAGAGAATTATTTCTCTCAGAATCGAAATGGGTCATCAGGTTTAAAAACAAAGCACAAACCCATTTTAAAACAAACAAATCACAATCTCTTTTTTTCTTTTTAAAGCAAATTACATGCCCATTTTTAAACAAACTTTTTGGTTAATAGTTGTATACCCAGACTCCTTTTGCACCCGTCTACCACAGATGGAATCCATAATGAAGAAAACCACGCTACATGGAGTGGCTTTAAATGTAAACAAATTATTTGGGAGATTTCCTGCAGAACTGATTTCTGTTTTGTAACACAACCTAATCCTTAATAAAAACTTTTTTAAAATTTTTGAAATTCTGGGAGGTAGTCTTGGAAAAGGAAGGGGGAAAGGGAGATTTCCCTAATAATATCTTTCCTTGTCAAGAGAAAATCCCGTCCAAGGCTTTTTCTTTGAGCACTTCAGTAATGGGAAAATGTTTTTGCCAAACCCAGTGGCTCTAGATAGTATAATGTGGATTTCCATAAACAGATGAAGCCTTCATACTATTCTCTCCTAATGCCAAGTGCATGTAAAAAAAGTAATTGTTTTCTCAAAAACACTGCATATACGACTAGATTCCACCAATACTGTCTGACTTGGCTCCTTTTTAAAGCTGCCCTTCCTACTTATTTTATTAAACATTTACAACACGACGCCCCATAAAGATTTGGCCATGTATGGAAATCTAAGGAACTGTTTTGGGCAATACAAAATATCAATTTCAGAGAAGAAAAACGGGCACTTCTCCAAAACACCCCCTCAAGCAAAACACCTAAGGCATATACCGTATTTTTTGCTCTATAAGACGCACCAGACCACAAGACGCACCTAGTTTTTGGAGGAGGAAAACAAGAAAAAAAATATTCTGAATCTCAGAAGCCAGAACAGCAAGAGGGATCATTGCGCAGTGAAAGCAGCAATCCCTCTTGCTGTTCTGGCTTCTGGGATAGCTGTGCAGCCTGCATTCGCTCGATAAGACGCACACACATTTCCCCTTACTTTTTAGGAGGGGAAAAGTGAGTCTTGTACAGCAAAAAATACGGTATTACCATTTGCTGAAATGGCAAAATTAACTGGGAAGCTCAGAAACCAAGAGGACAAGAAATTAAAAAAAGAATGGGGGGAAATTATAATTTATTTAGGAGACCATTGTAAAGAGATGAAAAAATTAGCAGGATTTTAACCGCGCTTGTAAAGTAACAAGAACTATGGACAATTTAGATGGGTAAAAAATTTGGATAACTGATTGATATGCAGTTGTAAATATTGTCACTAGGACCCATGGAGGGGATGGAAGGAAGTCTCGAGATTCGGAGTAATCTCTTTATATGGTTTCTTGATTGACTTTGTTAACTGTTTATATTCTTTAAAATTATATTAAAAATATTTACAAAGAAGAGAAAACCTTAATACACACACACACACACACACACACACACACACACAGGGGTTGGGCTATTGACATTCACTGACAAAACCATGGTGGGGAATCCAGATTTACAGCATGAATCCCGTTTCCCTTCAACGCCTTTTGATAATATTAATGGGATGAATTTTCCACGTTTGTGTGGCTTTTGCTATGCCCTCATGTGGCAAGATCTGGTACTTGTGGTATGAGGGCATGAGTTTCACTCTTGTAGTAAAATGCCGGATCTCTCTCGCCACATGAAGGTGCATTTGGAGGAATTAAATCACCACACAAAATCGTTGTGGTAAGCCAACTCATAACAGAAACGGTAGTTGCTCCAGAAAGCCACGTGAGACATGAGCCTGAAGAAATGATCTGTGGGAGAGCTGTGTGGCATAAATGCCGTCTCAAGAGCCCAAAGATAACATCATTGGGTTGGATGCAGTCTTAGTCAGAGGGAACCCACTGGAATCAATAGGAGGAACCTGAATAGTATCCATTTCAATGGATGATCTCTAAGTCTGACAAAGGCTAAATCAAACTCATTGTTTCCTCTTTTATTTTTGTCTGCTATTTTCAGTTTCCTTTGTACTTATTTATTCAAAGAATTCGTCTATTGTCTCATCGATATCCAGGAGGCAGGTAGTTAATTTGAAGCTGCTTCCCCTTTCCCCCTTTACTGTGTACAACTGAGATGTCTAGAGATCTCACATCTTACGGATTTAAAACTCTGAGAAGATACACTTCACTACTTTGTAAATCTGTGGGAGGTGCTGGGAATCTGTCCATTCCCATGGATAAGTTTAGAATCAGCCTTGTTTCTCAAAAGAGATTAAGTTTTTTTGCTCTTAGGAAGTCAGAGATGGGTGTGTACGTGGTGGTTTTTTTATATTATACTGTATTTTTCGCCCCATAGGGCGCACCGATCCACAGGGCACACCTAGTTTTTTTTGGGGGGGGAAATAAAGGGGGGGGAATTATTTCCCCCCCAGGCGCGGGGCTGGGGCAGGGGAAGCCCGAACTTCCCCCGACCCCAGCCCCCAGAACAGGCTGCTATCCGCAAGCCTAAGGAGCCCGGCGGGAAGTCGCGCCGGTCTCCCCAGGCTTGCGGAGAGCTGCGCGAAGCCCAGGGCACGCTCTTCAGAGCGCCCCAGGCTTCGGAATGCAGGCAGCTCTGCGCAGCCCTTGGGAGACCGGCGCGAGTCGCGCCGGTCTCCCAAGGGTTGCGCAGAGCTTCCTGAAGCCTTGAGAGTGAGAGGGTCGGTGCGCACCGACCCTCGCTCTCCAGGCTTCAGCGAAAGCCTGCATTCGCCCCATAGGACGCACACACATTTCCCCTTCATTTTTGGAGGGGGAAAAGTGCGTCCTATAGGGCGAAAAATACAGTAATTTAGGTTGTGAACCGCCCTGAGATTTGTGGGTATAGGGCGGTCTACAAATTTAATAAACAACAACAACATTACTTAGTGTGTTAGGTCGACAACAACAACAACATTAATTAGTGTATTAGGCTCCCAATATCTGGAAGGCCATCTCCATCTCTAGTGACCTTCTCTGGCATTAAGATGTGCAGAGGGGAATATTTTGGTAGCGCCATCACTCTCAGATGTGTGGAGAATGGTGTCCTGGGAAAGAATCTTCTTTGGCAGCCCCTGAATTGTGGAACTATCTCCCCACAGAGATGCATCCCAAATCTTTATTGTACAGATTTCACTGTGTGCCGAAGACGCAACCTCTGTATCCTGACCTGCAGCGTGAAAGGGCTGCATCCTATTAAGTCCTACTCAAGAGTAGACCCGCTGGAATTAACAAACCGAACTTGGTTGTGACTGTTAACCTCAGTAGGGCTCAGAAGCGCCAACTCCATGGGACTGAGGCCTCTAGGTAAAGGTAAAGGGATCCCTGACCATTAGGTCCAGTCGTGACCGACTCTGGGGTTGCGGCGTTCATCTCACTTTATTGGCCGAAGGAGCCGGCGTTTGTCCGCAGACAGCTTCTGGGTCATGTGGCCAGCATGCCGAAGCCGCTTCTGGTGAACCAGAGCAGCGCACGGAAACGCCGTTTACCTTCCCGCCGGAGCAGTACCTATTTATCTACTTGCACTTTGACGTGCTTTCAAACTGCTAGGTTGGCAGGAGCTGGGACCGAACAACAGGAGCTCACCCTGTCACGGGGATTCGAACCACCGACCTTCTGATCGGCAAGTCCTAGGCTCTGTGGTTTAACCCACAGCGCCACCTGTGTCCCTACTGAGGCCTCTACAGGCCCCCAAATGTCTGCTGGGCCAGGGCTCACCTCTTTCCCAATCTTGAGGGGACACAGGAGGCCGCGAGACATTGGGAGACACTAAACAAACCTAGTAAGCCTCTCCCGATGTGACAGTTGTCACGCACGCATGATGTCACACAATGTGCGATGCACGTGACGTCAGCCCCCCAATGTTGGGCGCAACTCAGTGCTTGCGGTAGGGCTACTCTTGAGTGGGATTAGCATTTGATACAACCCAAGGTATTTTGCCGGATTCATACTGTTCTGTTCGATTTAGAATAGCTCTGCTTATTTTAGAATGGTCATGATTTCATAATTGTATATTTTGTTGTTGTAACCTGGCCTTGTACCTTATGGTGAATGGCGGTTAGCAAACCTTATAAACGAATAAACAGGGAAGGTCTGCAATCTGGTGAGTGGTGATGCTGCCATACGAGTTTTGCAAATGGCCAGAAATGCAAACTACTCACTTTTTTTTGGACACACAGTGGTGATAGCTTAATTTCTCTTGCGTTTTGGGGCGTTCCCGGTTTTGATCTGGGGCTATCGTTCCTTCCCCACCATGCAGTTTTAAAATGATATAGAGCAGTGCAATTAACAACATAATGGCGCACACAGCCACCTCGTAAAAACAGCAGTAAAAAAGAGCAAGCCAATTATATGCACTGATTTATTGTAGTTTATCTGTAGAAACTCCGTTTCCTCCCACGCATGCATCTTTTATAGGTTGGCTTTTGTTTGTTTGTTCCTTCCGCCAAAGCTGAAGGATTCTTTCTCGGATATGAATTGCCTGCAGTTTTGTTTTGTTTTTGTAAAAACAACTCATACAACCTTTTCTAAAGCATCTCCAAGCTTCTGGCCTTTGGTGATTTGGAGCTATTTTCTAACCTTGAGGCACACCTCAAGGCTGTCGCAGCATTAGGTTGACACCAGGTGTTGTGATGTGATGTCATGTTGTGTTTTGTTTTTAACAATGAGACTCATTAATGGAGGACATGATGGCTAAACACGAGAACACCATTAATGGTTACCAGATGCTATGCCATAGCTGTCAACTTTTCCCTTTTCTTGTGAGGAATCCTATTCAGAATAAGGGAATTTCCCTTAAAAAAGGGGAAATGTCTATGCTATGCATAAGCAATAATCAGGGATGGGGATACTGTGACCCTCTCAGATGTTAGGTAAAGGGTAAAGGGACCCCTGACCATTAGGTCCATTCGTGGCCGACTCTGGGGTTGTGGTGCTCATCTCGCTTTATTGGCCAAGGGAGCCGGCGTACAGCTTCTGGGTCATGTGGCCAGCATGACTAAGCCGCTTCTGGCGAACCAGAGCAGCACATGGAAACGCCGTTTACCTTCCCGCCATAGTGGTACCTATTTATCTACTTGCACTTTGACGTGCTTTCAAACTGCTAGGTTGGCAGGAGCAAGGACTGAGCAACGGGAACTCACCCCGTCGCGGGGATTTGAACTGCTGACCTTCTGATCGGCAAGTCCTAGGCTCTGTGGTTTAACCCACAGCGCCACCCGCATCCCTCTCAGATGTTACTGGGCTACAATTTCCACGGCCCCCCTGACCACTGGCCCTGTTTGTTGGGGCTGATGGGAGTTGGGACTCCAACATCATTTAGGGGGCCACAGGCTCCTTGCTCCTGTGATGAAGGATGGCTGTCCTCATCATGCTGTACTTGTTACTTTTCCAAGAAGATGATGATAGATGAGAGAGAGAGAGAGAGAGAGAGAGAGAGAGAGAGATCTGCTGAAAATAGAGTGGACATCTCCATGTTCAGAGACTGTATAAGTCACAGTACTAAATCCTGTTTACTTCTTGTGCTGGGGCTCCTCAGAAGGATCTGGTTGGGCTCCGTAGGGAACAGGATGGTGGTGTAAATGGTCTGGCTCTCAAGCTTCCTCTGTTTAGAATGGCCAACATATAATGTCTTACAGTGGTACCTCGGGTTACGGACGCTTCAGGTTACAGATGCTTCAGGTTACAGACTCCACTAACCGAGAAATAGTACCTCAGGTTAAGAACTTTCCTTCAGGATGAGAACAGAAATCGTGCTGCGGCGGCAGTGGGAGGCGCCATTAGCTAAAGTGGTTTCTCGGGTTCAGAACAGTTTCAGGTTAAGAACGGACCTCCAGAACGAATTAAGTTCTTAACCAGAGGTACCACTGTATTGAGAAACAAAGTAGGCCTGTGGCAACTCAACTCCAGATAACCCAAGCAGTTGAGCCAATCTGCAGGACACAGTAGCAGAAAACAGATTTGACCAATTGTCCCCAGGCAACTGCTTCAGAAAAAGAAGACTCTGGGAAGACTCACTGAAATCAATAGATATGTTAGTCAGTTGCTGGTTTTACTTCTCAGAGTAGGAGAATTCCTTGCGCACACAATGGCCTGATTCAGACAGCCCCGGTACAATGAAGAAACTCATCTGAAGGATTTCCAGGGCAGATTGTGGAGAGGGCAAAGACTTATTCCTTGTGTATTGTCCTTCTTTATGGTAGTCGCCTGTATCCAAAAAGAAACCCAGGGAAGAGGATATAGCCTTCCTTTTTTATTGCATCTGCTTTTAGGGCAGATCAGTGCAGGACCAAGACATTTTGGTGCCCAGGCAAAGACTACACACTGGGAGCCAGTGTGGTGTAGTGGTTAAGAGCGGTAGTCTCGTAACCTGGGAAACTGGGTTCGTGTCTCCGCTCCACCACATGCAGCTGCTGGGTGACCTTGGGCTAGTCACACTTCTCTGAAGTCTCTCAGCCCCACTCACCTCACCGAGTGTTTGTTGTGGGGGAGGAAGGGAAAGGAGATTGTTAGCTGCTTTGAGACTCCTTAGGGTAGTGATAAAGCGGGATATCAAATCCAAACTCCTCCTCCTCCTCTTCTTCTTCTTCTTCTTCTTCTTCTTCTTCTTCTTCTTCTATATTTGCTTTCCCCTTCCTTTCTAAGTCCCAATGAAGGAACCTGCTTCACCTTGCTAGCCCTGTATGTGGTCACCAGAGCAGTGAAGAGCCTCTGATTGTGTGCCTTGGATACAAACAATGTGTATTTGACGCCCGCTGTTTTTGCCCTTCAAATGCTGATAGCAAATGTCTTTCCTTTCATCCCATGGCAGAAGCTCTATAAGACGTGTCGGGTAATGCAAGAGAGAATTATGGAACTGCTAGCAACTGTGCAGAATGAAGACGTGATCACAGAACTGATACAAGTGAATGAAAATCTGAATAATGTCCTACTGGGACATGAAAGGTAAAGCTGTTCTATATATACTGGGGACTCGTTGCTTATATATACACAGGTTATGCCAGTTTCAGGGGTGGGGAAACTTGCCCTTCCAACTCTCATCAGCCCCAGCCAACATTGGCTCAACGGTCATGGATGATGGGAGTTGTAGTCCAACAATATTTGAAGGGCTTACAGGTTGCCTGCTCCTGCAATAAAAAAGTTGTGATTGAGCTAACAAAAGAGCTTTGTCCCCTTGCAGTGTTCCTTGGGAGTAGGCCTCATGTACACTTTCCCCTTCTGCTTTGGAGAGAAGTGAATGTCTGAACCAGTGGAACCTATGCTTGGCTGGTGACCATAGGATCTCATCCTGACCATGCAATATTTGCCTCTCAGCGACTGCAGAGTCTGGCATTCCCATTGTTCAGTTCACTTCCCACCCCACAGCAAGGAGCAGGGGAGAAAGCCTCTGGCCTACTTCTGATCCCACCCTCGGGAGAGGTCCTTCAGGAGAAAATCTCTGAATAGACTAAGTTACAAGTCTCTATTGTGATGCTTACGTTATTTTCTGTGTCCGTTTAGGTTTCTTTTGAGACACAATTCTCTGGAGAGAAGCGAACATTGTTGCTTGCCTGTTAATCCAAGTGGCACAATGCAATTCTTTCCCTTGGCACATGAACGCTGTCCAAATGTAATGTTTTCGTTATAGAATAAATAAATAAGCAATCAAAAGATAAAATAAAAGATAAATAGAAATTGGCCCCATTACTCAAGCGCCCTAGAATAATGGGACCAATTTCTTTCTTACTGTTTTCTCTTTGGCTTGTTTATTTATTTTGAAACAAGCAAGCACCCATTCTTGACTGATGGGGCTAATTTCTCTTCCCTCTGGGAGGGTTTTCTTGTAAGAAGAAACATTGGCAAAAGCTGGAAGCAGGCAAGCTAAAAAAAATCCATAACCATCTTCCTTGCTAGCTGAGGTTATAAAAAGGAGGAAAAGATAATATCCCCTCAAGGTCTGCTCAAAGACTGTGAGCTTTGCCTCCTTGGTGATTCTCAATTGACTGGCCATCTCTGGAATATGGCAAACATTGCATACACATCTTTCCGTTGTTCATCGTAACTGCATGGCTTGAAACGCAGGTACTGACCGTACCATTTCATACAGGTTCTCTCGAAACAGAGTACGCTTCTTGGAGAATCAAAGGATTCAGAACGAAGGTGCAGGGGTAAGTAATTAACAGCCCGTCCTCTAGCCTGGAAAGAGCCTTCTTTTGCTAGGACAAGAATTCTGGAACCTCTGATGCTGTTAGATTCTTGGGTCTCTTGAGTCATTTTGCAACGTTTATAGTTCATGCCTTCTAAGTCTAGGCATGTTGACTCAGAAGCAAGTCAGAAGCTAAGCTTGGTGGTGCTTACTCCTATGTAAGTGTGCGTAAGATTGCAGTGCGTAAGATTCAGTGTTCCAAGGATGACAAAGCATAACTTGCTAGTTCACCCATTACAGAGCAAGTAGCCAAATATGTCTGGGTGGTGGATGGGGGAGGAATCATTCATTGTGTGTGTGTGTGTGTGTGTGTGTGTGTGTATATATATATATATATATTAGTCCACTGAAAAGCGGCTGCAAAAGAAAAGTGGGGAAGCAGGGAGGAGGAAACCACAATACCATCCCTAGTGCTTCTTACACAATTCTTGCTGAAGATAATTCTCTTAATGAATTTTGGCTGCACTTATCTTGAACTGTGAAGTGTTCTTCAGGATCAATACAAAATTATATCCCGCTCATTCTATTACTTGATCTGAGAACCTTCAGATTTTACAGATATAGCCGGTGAATCATAGATGGTCACACTGGTGACTTGAGGAGACCCTTACCACCAGCCAAGATCTGCTTCCATAAGAGAGCAAAAAGGACGACCTTGTTAGCAATTGCTTGTCGCTCACTGAATGTTCACCCTACACCTAATAGGGAACACTAGGTATAACCTCTGATCTCTTTTTTTCCTTTCAAGGTCAATGGCAACCAGCCATCTGCTCCTTCGTGTGATTTGCTTGACCTGGCTTCAAGCTTTTCCACGACTGTGCCAAAGCCTGGGGAAGTTGGCCCTGCATCTCCTCAGTTTTCAGAATTGAGTGAGTATGGATGTATGTATGTTTTAATTTCCCTTGTGGGAAAATATGGAAACAGACTTATCCTTGTACAGGTCCTATGGATTTGGACTGGAGAGCTGCAGTATGGAAGATCTCCAAGGTGTCGCACAGGAGAGATTCTTATATTATTATTGTTATTATATTTGTATACTGTCCTATACCTGTAGCTCTCAGGGTGATTCACAACATAAAATAACATTATAAAAACCACAAAATATATGATAAAAACAAATACAGTGGTACCTCAGGTTACATACGCTTCAGGTTACGCTTCAGGTTACAGACTCCGCTAACCCAGAAATAGTACCTCGGGTTAAGAACTTTGCTTCAGGATGAGAACAGAAATTGTGCTCCGGCGGCGCAGTGGCAGCAGGAGGCCCCATTAGCTGGTGGTGCTTCAGGTTAAGAACAGTTTCAGGTTAAGAACAGACCTCCGGAACAAATTACGTACTTAACCCGAGGTACCACTGTACAATAATCCACCCTCCACAACGTATTTTAAAAGGGCATTGAGTGTCAATCAGCCAAAGGCCTGGTTGAAGAGGAACGTCTTTGTCTGGTGTATAAGGAAGGCGCCAGCCGAACCTCCCTGGGGAGAACATTCCACAAATGGGGAGCCACTGCAGAGAAGGCCCTTTCTTGTGTTGCCACCCTCCGGACCTCTTGTGGAGGAGGAACATGAAGAAGGGCCTCAGAAGTCCAGGAAGGTTCATAGAGAGGCAGTCCTTGAGATCTTGTGGTCCTGAGCCGTTTTATAGGTCAAAATCACCACTTCCCTCTTATTATTGTTAGGAAAGTGCTGTAGCTCAGTGTTAGAAAGTCTCTGCTTTGAAATCAAGAGGCCCCAATTCAGTTTCCAGCAACTTCATGCAGGGCCAGGAATATCTCCTGTGTGCAACCTTGGAGGTCTGCCTCCAGTGTAGATGGAGCTAGATGGACCAAGTGGTCTGACTCTACCTGTTTTCTTCTCAGATGCATTTCAGACACCATACTTAAGAGATGCAGACTGTGACCTAGAAGCCAGAGGCACATACATGGAGGGAAAGTACAGGCAGTTCCACCTTTGGGTGTTTTGGATCACTAGCATTGTTCCTGTACGCATCAGTAGCCAAAATTCTCCACTTCGCATGGGGAACTCTGGCTTAATTGAAGCCCGAATCTTTGCGCCAGAGCTGGCATATGAAGGGAGGAAGCGAGGGAGGAGTGCTCAGTCCCAACACGCATTACCAGCTTGGTGAACCATGGCTTATAAAGCCAGGAATGATCATCTGAAGAAGGCTGTTGCGAACTGAACTTCACATGAACTCCCAAATGGTGACTGGATAATAGAAGACACACATCCCCACCTTGAGTTTATTTGAAATAATGTGTTGCTGAATTCTGCTTATTGATCTATATCCTGGGCCAATGTCTTGATCAGAGTTCACCACAGTGATATAATGCCTTAGAACATTGCCTATATTTTATTTTTTGTGTTTTAAAGGTCTGCAGAAAAATCACAATCATGCCTGTTTTTCTTTATTTTTTTAGATTGCCAGCCACAAAGTGTTGCTGTTCCAAGTCCCTATCCTACTCAGCCACCACTTTACCCTCAACTGAATTCACTCGCAACTACAAATGCTGCACACACTCCGTAAGTAGCAGTTTTTGAAGCTATTTAAACCTTTTAAATGGGGTTTAAAGGATGATAGGCTAAGTTGAAAACCAGGACATGGTCATGCAAATGTCCCATCTCTGGAAGCTGGCAAAAATTAAAAAGACAGGCAAACATTTGTCAGACTCAGTACTTCATTTTGTAAGGTAATTTGTGGAAGGTCAGTACGGACTTTTGTGAACCGAGACAAATTGAAAATGCAGGGATTTAACAATGCAGCCAGAAGCTTGGATGCTGGAGTTGGAAATTTCATGTATGGTTCCTTGATGGCTTCCCATTCATTCTTTCCTCTCCTAGGTTCACATCAGAAGCACAAAGTACATGCCAAAGCTTTCCAGGTAGCTCCACATACATCAATGTAAGTAGCAAACTGTTTCTTAGTCCTTCTTCAGTAGCAAGTATCACAGAGAGATAGCTTTGCACATGTTTTCTGTTTGCGTTTTCTGTTTCCCACCAGCCCCAGCCAGCATGGCCAATGGCAATGTTCAAGGATGATGGGGTTTGTAGTCCCACAACTTCTGGAGGGCCACAAGTTCCCCATCCCTGTTGGTCCAGCCGTGCAGTGTTTGTGGTGTTAGTTATAGGGGTTATTGGTCTTAACACTCTTACCAGTGCCAAACTTAACCTGAGTCCTTATGCAGCTGAAGCAGTGTCATCTGTGAACAAGAGGAAAGGATCTTGGAGGCTCAGGAGAATAAACAAACAAAGATATTTAGGAAATATTTAAAGAAGGGGGAGGTTCCCCAAATGGCCCAGGGAGTACTGAGCAATGGGTGGTCATGGAAATAAATTGGCTGGAAGAGAATTCCACTGAAGAGGAAGGTGTGGCCGAAGAATAAGAAGAGGAAGAGAAGGAGGAGGAGGTGGAGAAGGAGTTTGGATTTGATATCCCACATTATCACTATCCGAAGAAGTCTCAAAGCGGCTAACATTCTCCTTTCCCTTCCTCCCCCACAACAAACACTCTGTGAGCGGAGTGGGGCTGAGAGACTTCAGAGAAGTGTGACTAGCCCAAGGTCACCCAGCAGCTGCATCTGGAGGAGTGGAGACGCGAACCCGGTTCACCAGATTACGAGTCTACCGCTCTTAACCACTACACCACACTGGCTCTCAGAGGCAGAACATGACACTTCAAAATGTCCACTGATCTGCTGGGAAGCAGGAGAGGCTAGCTAGGAGAGAAGGGAAGGAGCCACAGAGCAGAACTGAGGAGAGTGGAAGTTGAGGATTTGTAGCTCTGTCTCAAATTCTTTTCCTTCTCTGGAGGTTATGGGCTCTTCTACCTTGGAGGTTTTAAGGCAGAGGTTGGATAGCCATTTGTCATGGATGCTTTAGCTGAGATTCCTGCATTGCAGGGAATAGATGATACTTGGGGTCCCTTCTAACTGTACAATTCAATTACAGTGGTACCTCGGGTTAAGTACTTAATTCGTTCCGGAGGTCTGTTCTTAACCTGAAACTGTTCTTAACCTGAAGCACCACTTTAGCTAATGGGGCCTCCTGCTGCCGCCACGCCACTGGAGCACGATTTCTGTTCTCATCCTGAAGCAAAGTTCTTAACCCGAGGTACTATTTCTGGGTTAGCGGAGTCTGTAACCTGAAGCGTATGTAACCTGAAGCGTATGTAACCCGAGGTACCACTGTATTCTATTGCCCTTTGCTTTATTTCTCCTCTTCTTCTATACCACCCTGCATCTGCAGATCTCAGGGCGACTCACAACATAAACATACAAAGTACAAAACGCATGATGAAAGCAAGAACAAACAAGAGCAACAAACCAACACCCCCCTCCCACAAACACATTTAAAAGGGGTCTAGGACGTTAGTTCTCATCCTGGGTTTCTCCAGCTGACTCCTCTTCTCTTTCCTCCTCTGAGAGGAAGGAACATAAAAGGGGTCACTGGGGGAGTGGTGCAGGAAAAACAACTTACTCCTTAACTTAAAGAAAACAAAAGAGATTATTGTGGACTTTAGGAAATGTAAACTGACTATTCAGCCACTCATGATTGAGGGGAAGTGTGTGGAACAGGTCTCGGTGTTTTGATTTCTGGGAATGGAGTTGAGAGATGACCTAACCTGGGGAGAAAACAGCAAAGACCTGATGAAGAGAGCACAGCAGAGGTTATATTTTCTGAGAATCCTCCGGAAAAAATAATCTCTCAAAGGACCTGTTGGTGGCATTTTACCATTGTACTGTTGAGAGTGTATTAACTTATGGTCTGTGTGTGTGGTTTGGGAGCTGCATGTTCAGGGGGGAAAACAAAGCTGTACAGGGTTGTAAAGACTGCAGAGAGAATAATTGGGTGCACTCTTCCCACCTTGGATCAAATCCATGCTTCCAGGTGTCATAAGAAAGCTGCAGAGATAGCGCAGGATAGTGCGCACCCCAGAAATGATCTCTTTCAGCTTCTGCCTTCTGGAAGAAGGTACAGGGTTATAAAGACTAGGACTAGCCGCCTGAGAAACAGTTTCTATCCAAATGCGATTTTGGTTTTAAATGCAATGTAAGGTAGTCTCTATGAGAGTATATTGTATTTAATTATGGGGTATCAGAGTTTTTAGGGGGCTAACCAGGTTGGGATAGCTGGAATAGCAGGCTTGTTGGTTTTGAATGTCTGGTGTAGATTTTTTCGATTTTTTTCAATTTCGTAGTTCTTTATGGGACAATGACAATAAAGATTACCGTATCGTATTGTATGTGAATATAAAAAGGATAAGGGGAACCACCTCATTCCCTGGAGAGGTCATCTCCTGGTTCATGCCGATCAACCTGTTTTTAAATGTTCCAGAAGTGGGTTATGATGCAAGACATAACTATAGGAATTGAGTGTGAGCTGCCCATAGAGATTTATGTAGCTGGTATTCGGCATCCGTGTTTCCATCCCCACCCCTCAAAAAACCAAAATGTAAGAGCAAAGAGTAGATGACATCAGTTGTTTTCATACACTGCCTTGAAGGTTGAACTGAGTGTGGTTTACAACAACCTTGCAGTGTAGCTAAAACAGGCGAAGGGAGGCTGGGTAAACAGGATATCCGCATTCTAAAGTAATCCTCAAAAATGTATTGTCTAGAGGCCAGTGAACCAACAGGCTTGCTCCATGAGTCCGAGAGGAAATGAGATTCCACACACACCCCTCTTTAAACAGTACTCTCGTGGCTGTTGCATGGCAGACAGCACTTGAAACAAGGGAGATTGGGAAGCAGCTTGTGTTGCGACTTGTGAGCCAGCAATTATTAAAAACTCGCCCCCTCCCCAAGAAATAACCCAGAGGTTACTGCATGTCTAAGTAGCTCTGTGGAGCCCAGCTGAACCACTACAGTGGTACCTTGGTTCTCAAACTTAATCCGTTCCGGAAGTCCATTCCAAAGCCAAAGGGTTCCAAAATCAAGGCACGCTTTCCCATAGAAAGTAATGCAAAACGGATTAATCCGTTCCAGTCTTTTTTAAAACAACCCTTAAAGCAGCAATTTAACACGAATTTTACTATCTAACGAGACCACTGATCCATAAAATGAAAGCAATAAACAATGTACTGCAGTCACACAATCAGTCAGTAGCTGAACTGCGTTCCACACAGTCACAAAAAAGAGCCACAAAAATGCAAAATAAATAGCAAAAACAGACAGACCTCAGCGTAACACTCAAAACGGAAGTGTGGCACTCAAATTGGAAGCATAACACTCAAAACAGGGCATGTTCAGCTTACAAAAAAGGTTCTCAAACTGGAACACTTACTTCCGGGTTTGCAGTGTTTGGGTTCCAAGTTGTTTGAGTACCAAGGCTTTTGAGAACCAAGGTACCCCTGTAAACGCTTTCTGAATCACAGAGAGAATTGTATTGCAAGCAGCAACAGGGTTAAAGGATTTCTGTCTCTGCTGATACTAACTTTAATCCTCACATTAAGAAGTAAACAATGCAAGAATAAACCAGCATGTGAGGCTAAACCAGTTTTTTCACAAAGCTATCTTCCTACATACCTGATTTAATTCATTTCATTCCCTTAGGTGAACACCTATTTAAATCCAGTACCTGTGCATCCTGTAAGCCTTCAGAGTAATGGCTTGAGAGAGGTGCCCCCAGCAGGTAGGTCTAACCAACTACAGTTGACATTACCTAAGTTGCGACTGCTTTCTTATATGTCAGCAGGATTATGTCCAACTTGGACTATGACCTGTTTTGGATAGGCTTCAAGACATGCAGATGTTAGCCAAGGTGGGAAAGTGAGACTGTGCTTTCTCAAGGGCACCATCTGCATTATGCAAGCCTGAACATGTTGGTTTAGGATAAATTACCGTATTTTTCGCCCTATAGGGCGCACCGGCCCATAGGGCGCACCTAGTTTATTTTGGGTGGGGGGGAATAAAGAAAAAAAATATATTTCCCCCCCAGGCATGGGGCTGGGGCGGGGGAAGCCCGAGCTTCCCCCGACCCCAGCCCCCAGAACAGGCTGCTATCCACAAGCCTGGGGAGCCCGGCGGGAACTCCCGTGGGCTCCCAAGGCTTGCGGATAGCTTCCTGAAGCCTGGAGAGCGAGAGGGGTTGGTGCGCACCGACCCCTCTCGCTCTCCAGGCTTCAGCGAAAGCCTGCATTTGCCCCATAGGACGCACACACATTTCCCCTTCATTTTTGGAGGGGAAAAAGTACGTCCTATAGGGCGAAAAATACGGTATTCGTTAATTTTATCTCTGGAGAGGCCATGCATGCTGGCCCGGGCCTTCCCAGCCCTAAATGACTTGAATAATAATAATAATAATAATAATAATAATAATAATAATTTATTATGTGTACCCCGCCCATCTGGCTGGGTTTCCCCAGCCACTCTGGGCGGCTTCCAACAAAGATGAAAAATACACTAAAATGTCACATATTAAAAACTTCCCTGAACAGGGCTGCCTTCAGATGTCTTCTGAATGTCAGGTAGTTGTTTATCGCTTTGACATCTGATGGGAGGGCGTTCCACAGGGCAGGCGCCACTATCGAGAAGGCCCTCTGCCTGGTTCCCTGTAACTTGGCCTCTCGCAGTGAGGGAACCGCCAGAAGGCCCTCGGAGCTGGATCTCAGTGTCTGGGCAGAATGATGGGGGTGGAGACGCTCCTTCAGATATACTGGACCGAGGCCGTTTAGGGCTTTAAAGGTCAGCACCAACACTTTGAATTGTGCTCGGAAACGTACTGGGAGCCAATGTAGGTCTTTCAAGACCGGTGTTATATGGTCTCGGCAGCCGCTCCCAGTCACCAGTCTAGCTGCCGCATTCTGGATTAGTTGTAGTTTCCGGGTCACCTTCAAAGGTAGCCCCACGTAGAGCGCATTGCAGTAGTCCAAGCGGGAGATAACCAGAGCATGCACCACTCCGGCGAGACAGTCTGCAGGCAGATAGGGTTTCAGCCTACGTACCAGATGGAGCTGGTAAACAGCTGCCCTGGATACAGATTTGACCTGCGCCTCCATGGACAGCTGTGAGTCCAAAATGACTCCCAGGCTGCGCACCTGGTCCTTCAGGGGCACAGTTACCCCATTCAGGACCAGGGAATCCTCCACACCTGCCCGCCTCCTGTCCCCCAAAAACAGTACTTCTGTCTTGTCAGGATTCAACCTCAGTCTGTTAGCCGCCATCCATCCTCCAACCGCCTCCAGACACTCACACAGGACCTTCACCGCCTTCACTGGTTCTGATTTAAAAGAGAGGTAGAGCTGGGTATTGAGCCGGAAAGGGGGATTTTAAGTAAGCTCAGCTTAATGCGTTTTCCAGACATCAGGGAAGAAATAAGTGAGTTCCCTTCAGCCTTTCTCAGATGTTGTTGAACTACAACTCCCATCACCCCTAGGTAGCAAGGCCAGAGCTCATGGATGATGGGAGTTGTAGTCCAACAACATCTGGGGACCCACAGGTTGAGAACCGCTGCTTCAGACCATCCTGCACAATGTTGGGTGATGCGAAGGCCTGGGAAAATTAATTTCAGCTACAGTTCTGTGTTCTAGTAATACATTTTACTAGGGAAGGACCGTCGCTCAGTGAAACATGCAAAAGGCATTCAATCTTCAGGAAAAGCTGGGAGCATATTCCCTGTCTGAAATCCTGGAGAGTTAACCTGCCACAGTTAGTGCAGAGAACCAAGCTATATGGGCCATTGGTCCAATAAGGCAACTTCCTATGTGGTTAAATATATTTGATTCCATAAAACCTTTTCATGCTTGTATTGTGCTCTTTCCTATTGCTATGATCCACTTGTATAATTTTGCCTTACCCTCGAATTACAGAAGAAGGTGGTATTAAGGATAGCTGGGACTTTGGTTGGTTATAATTTTACGTTAGCAAAGCAAAATGATGCTAACTATTTTTTTTTTTTAAACATCTCTGGGTTTCCTTCTTCCACAGATGTATCAAAAAGCAGTCCGCCTCCTCCTAATTATTACGAGCTAATGGAATTTGACCCCTTGGCTCCCAGTGACAAAACAGAGTAAGTAATTTTGAGAATGACTAATTTACTGCTTGTCGATACAGCAGATTTATAATACAATTCAGGGTGTTGGCCTCTGAAGGTAAATGAGTGATTAAATTTGGCCAAAAAACCATTCTTGGAGGCACACTTCTTGTTTAATCAGGACTATTTGAAAAATAAATATATTGTCGTTAGTTAAAATACATATTTAAGTAAATCCCTAGGGTTGGATCCAGAGTATCATTTCTGCTAGGTGAAAGGGACAGAGATCCAGCAGATTTCTGCAGGACAAGGTGGGAATTTTTTCAGGAAGCTGCAGGGGAAAGAATTGGCAGATATTGCCTCCCCCTCCTGCCTCTGCTGGGAGTGTCTTGTGATGGAAGTCCTACTAATAGGAACTCTGGATCCGAGCCATGGAAAAGTAATTACAAAGCTGAGGGCATGGATTCAAAGTTAGCTAAGCAGTGAGGACCTCACAGTTCTGAAGCACATGCAGCAAAACACTGCAAAAGCATTACATACAAAATCCAAAAGAGAAGATAGATTAACACAATGAGCAAAATCCACCATTGTGTGAGCAACCCTCCAAATCAGATTTTGCATGTGTGCAGGGGAGCGAATGGTGCATTCCCACTGCACAAATGGAAGTCTGCTCTGCTCACACATTTTGAGCACGGGAAACAACCCAATTATCTCCCTCACACATTGAAATTATTTCTGTTACTAGGGAACTTGTGGGCAGACGCATTGACCATTCATTTTTGCAGACATTCATTGAAGCTAAGTCCGTTGGGGTCAAAGAAAATTGTTTGAAAGGCTGGATGTGGGCTGCAGACCACGAGCTGGCCATTCTTGCTATGAGGAATTGGATACCATGGATAATGAAGCAAAATGAGTTTTATGCTATGTGGGGCTCAGCCCCTAGCTCTCCTGTAATTGTTTTGTTGACTAATCCTTGTTATTCATGTCACAAAAGAGTGTTTTATCTTGTGCTTTTGATTTCAGACCTGTATATGAAGAAATTGATGCACACCTATTCAAAGCAAGTGTTAGAAACAACACCAGTTGTTAAAAGCAGAGGTCCAAGAGAACCAGTACTTTACCAGTACTAGAGACTATTTTGATGACTCAAAACCTGTCAGTTCTGTGACAAAGAATAGGAGGACAATTTTTGGAAGATGATTTGGATACGTCACACCGTTCATATGAAGAGATTCAAAACCTATCCTCCCTTAAGTGCATTACATTAAGTTCATTTGATCGTTAAGAATTCAAGGTTCTACTTGTGCGTATACTTTGGACCAAAGTATACAAATTCTATACAGCGTGACCCCCTCCCCTAAAAAAACCATTCTTTCTAGGGAGCAAAATATCCAAGACTGTAATTATAAAAGAAACTTTGCACTTAGAAAAATAAGGTACTTTTATTTTATGGTACATTCTGCTTAGTTATAAAAGCAAACAACTTTTTCCATAGGTAGAACTACATAATGGAACTTGATTTAAGTTGATGTGCGTCATTGTGCTAGAGGTCCAGGACCAAATCGAGGTTCAAGCTAGCCTTCAAGCTGTTATCTGGGATTTAGTGCCACATTTTGTGGGGGTGGACCTTACCCCTCTATCCTCTCAGTATAATCTTTCTGTAAAACTATTTGCTAACCAGGCACATGGTTTTGAAATCAGATGTTTCATAGCAAGTTTCTTGGTCTTCTGATGACTAGTCACTATAGCACTTTTCTCTAAATAGTTTATGTAATCCACTCATTGTATCAGACTTGCACAAGCTATTCCAAAACAGTTTTACCTTGATTTTCGAACAGCTTAGTTCGAAAACTCCCGGACGCCGCAAACCCGGAAGTGAGTGTTCCGGTTGGCAAACTATTTTTGGAAGCCAAGTGTCTGACAAGGCTTCTGCGGCTTCCGATTGGCTGCAGGAGCTTCCTGCAGCCAATCAGAAGTTGCGCTTTGGTTTCTGAACATTTTGGAAGTCGAATAGACTTCTGGAACTGATTCCGTTTGACTTCCGAGGTACGACTGTAGTCTCATGAGGGTTTGCTGTAGTAGAAGTCTTGCTCCATTTCTGTCCTAACATTCTTTAAAGAGCTGCACGTGTGATGGGAAGCCACAAATGCTCTAGTTTTCATGGGCTTCATTGGGAGCAGCTAAACAAGGCACTAAGCAGATGGATGGAGGACAGCAAGGACATAAGCACACTCTTTAAGGTATTTTGGAGCAACTCTGCCATTGTTTGTTACTGTAGCTGTTTTCCACATTAAGCAGGTACTATTAGCAACTAAAGTTATCTTTAAGCAGGTAAGGACAGTCACTTGGGTCATAGGATCATACAATGTAAAAGGGTGATGGGAGGAAGTGCCTTTTTTCTGATTTAAAGTAAAATATGTACTGCTCTGAGACTGTGACTGCCAAACCTATTTATAATGAATGTCATTACAATCAGCTGTTCAAATCAATGCTTGCTAACTGCAGATGGTACATTTTAAGTCTGATTGCTATGTAGTATTTAATTATGTTTTACAATTCCTATGCTGTTTTTATACAATCCAAATAAAATGCGGTCAGAAACCAGCTAATGGGTGGTTTCAGTAGCTGCACAACTCTCCAGTTTAACACAGCTCTTTCCTATTTGGTTTTATAGCTTGCCTCCTGCATTTTATGTCAAATGTTTGCATGCCAGTGTTAAGTAAGGCATCACACCGTTGCTGCTTTATTTATCAGTTTATTTGCTCTGCAGCTATCCAGCTTTGAGCTGAAATTTCTGTTGAGTCTTCACTGCATTTTGGAATCATACATTTAACATCACTGTCAGTTGTAGTGTAGATATTTTGAAACTAGCCGATGTTTCTGTTTGCCATGACCAATACCTCTTCTGTCCTCTGCCTGCCCACCCCAAGGTACATCTATCTTTATTGGGAATTCTATTCACATTGGCTAGGAATTTCACCCAACAAAATATACAGGGCACAGAAAATTCAGGTAAAACTGTTATCAACCCAAAGTGCCAGAATCCCTAGAAATATTCTGTCATTTGATCTTTATTTTTTAAAAGGTGCTTTCATGTACTTCAAAGCATAGCTGAAATACATGCAGGAAAAGTCCCTCTGCACCCTGATATGTAAACTATATTCAGAATAAATGTCCAAAACAGTCATGATTTTTTTAAAAAAGGCAGAATAAATTTATTTATTTTAACTCCGCTTTTCACCATCTGGGTACCAATGCAGCTCTAAGGATAGTACCAAAGTTTAATATGCTAACCTTCAATGTCACTTTAACAGAAGGGAATAGTAGGAGGAAAGAGTTACGGCTAGGAGAAAGAAAGAAAGAAAAGGTCTAAAAATAATAATCAGGGAACTTATAAGAGGTGATTTCCTTTGATTCTGGGTTGGTTACAGATTCTTCAGAGTTCAGTTTATGAGAATAAGAACATAGATGGCAAAGAACAGCTGAGTTTCAGCATAACATTTCATATGGCATCTGCACTTTGGTTACAAACCTTCACACAATTTATGGAAGAGTGCTACCTCTGATATATTGCAAACAGCTAAAGGAGCTTTAGCGGTGTCTAAAATTAAATTAGATTTGAAAATACCACCCGCCACATGCATTTTATAATTATTATTCATAATCATGGTTCCTGTGTGCAAAATTAAACGTCACATCTTCAAATCTCTATACGATTCAATATCTAAAACACAACTTTTACAGTTTTTAAGCATCTTCCTACTGAGTTATGGAATGTGCTTTTACTGTCTGTAGATCACAATTATTGAATAGCAGAGGAATCTCCACTGCAGTGTCCGTCTGCTGTACTATTAGTTATAACCCGGGAGTGGCAGTTTCTGTCCTTCTTTTGCTTCAAAAAATGTGTAAGAAAGCGTGATCAAGTCAACATTGGCCATCCTTGGGTCTTCTGCAAATTCAGGATCAATGAAGAAAAATACCGGCATGTCCACTTCTTCGTGGGGATTAAGTCGTTGTTCTTCAAAACAAAAACACTGTAAATGTGAGGGAAAGAGGGTTTAGAATTGTTTCTGAAGTTTATATTAAGCCAATAATATATCCACAATCTAATTTAAGCAGGAGGAGAACCTCTGTGCCTAGTTCAATTAAATGTGGCAAAATGCTATTTGTGATATTTTCCACCAAAGGACATGAAAAATCCATATAAATACATTCATTTTGCCACTGTCTTGTGAAAACTGTAATACCCGCTTAAATGCAAAGGGTAATATCCAGAGTTAGTCATACTTGTAGTACAGCAACTGAAATTAATGGACTAAACTCCATGAATTTCAAGGAGTCTATGCTGACTATAACTTAAATAGAGATCACCCCAAGGATTTAACATGAAGCGCTAGCACCATTGACAGCGAATTAAACCATATTATATCCACACTTTGTGTGTGTGTGTGTGATATTTTGAACTATTCAAAATCACACAGTTTTATTTTGTCTTAGAAGATACAGCAGATATTAAAAAAAAAAATTCCTTAATAGCTTTTTCAGAGCAGAGGGTGGCGCTAGATCCTGAGTCTAGAGGGTAAGTTTTCCTTGCACCAATGACAAGGAAAGTGGAGGGCATATACCTACATCTTGGATATTGCTGCTAACATGGATTAAAACAGAATCAGGCTTCAAAAGTAGGAGAGTTGAGTTAGCAGCAGCAGCAGTCCACTCTTAGCGCATCATACTACACTTACTTGTATCTTGTTGAAATACTGCCCAGCTTCAAAAGGCACCACATTGTAGGTAGAGATTCCAATTATTGGTTGATCAGTGGGATTCTTTGCTTTATAAAATGCCAGTGCGGTCTCTCCTGGAACCACCTGTAAGAAGAAGTTGCTCTAGTGATCTTTCTTGCTTTCCCCCATGTCACTGCCAGCCAAACTGCATTATGGTGGCTAAGTTTATAAATGGCTAGTAGACACAGTATTGCCTCTGAACCCAAGTCGCTGTGAACTGCAGGCTGAGAGAATGCTGTTGCTCTCAGGATCTGCTTGCGGGCTTCCCATGGGCATTGGGGGGGGGGGCGGGCTATGATAACACAGTGCTGGACTAGATACTCCCATCACTCAATCCAGCAGGGCTTTTCTTCAGTGTTTAGGTTTTTATACAGTGGTACCTCGGGTTGCAAACGCTTCAGGTTACAGACTCCGCTAACCCAGAAATAGTACCTCAGGTTAAGAACTTTGCTTCAGGATGAGAACAGAAATGCGCAGCAATTTCTGTGAAATGAAAGTGTGGTGTAGCCACCTTGTAGATTTTTCCTGGGACTGGGGAATGCTCCCTGTTGCTACTAGACAGCAACAACATCAGTGTGCATGCTTGTGCTTGTGTAAAGTCAATCAATCTCCACAATCAGGCATGCTAAACTTAAGGTTGTTGGGGATATATCTCTAATTCTGTGTTATGCCACGTCCCCCACAGCTATTTTGTGACTAACAATGCTAACAATGTTTCCGTCTAAAGTAGGTCTAAATCAAGAAACTGCCGAAAACTCAAAGGAAAGGGAGTTTATTTCTCATGCAGATGTGGCATGGAGGACAGACTTACATAAAAGTAAGGTCTCCAGCAAAGAGGGTGTCTCTACAGCATGCTGCTGTGCTCTTCCAACCAGGAATTCAGAGAACTGCGCTATGGCTCACTCAACGCCTCTGACCGAGTCAATATGGCATAGCAGTTAGGGTCAAACTGAGATTGGGGAGACGCAGATTCAAACTCCCACTTGGCAAAGAAGCTCACTGGATTACTTTGGGGGCAGTGTTGTTGTTGTTGTTGTGGCTGGGGGGGGGGGAAGGCAGAACACACACAGTGCCTTTTGCTTGGTAGAGAAAGGCAAACTAAATGTAGTAACTAAATAATAACAACGTGAGTCCACATGCCGATTCGGTAGCAGCAGCAAGATGTTGCATTTCCCTAGGTGTGGAAACACAAAAGGATAACTGTGTGCTGAGAGCAAATAGGCAGCGTGGGGTTGTGAGCCTGTTTGCCAGGAACTAATCTTTACCCATCACTGGCAACAGACTAAATGCATGCTTACCCTGTGTAAGTGCCAATCAGAATTTAGCCTTTGATTTGTGCTGTTTAATGTTATTGTTTAATTTTGGTTTAGACTGTGTATATTTTCTGCCTGGGACCTTTGGGTGAGGATTATAAATATTTCCAACAAAATAAGTAAATCCAAAGCAGAGTATTTTCAAACATTAGCAATAACAGAGATATCGCACCAACAGCAGCATTTATGCAAACAGTATACCCTTTCCCCTCCCACTTTGCCCCATTTCAAATTAATTTTACTTTGGGATGCAGGTAGGTTCAGAATGGTAGGTTCAGAATTCTACGCAGATGAAAAACTGCACCAACCTCTGACTCTTACAGGTGAACAACTGCTATACTGCAGTCTGTAGACCTTAATGCCTGACAAAGCAGATTATAAAACAAGCAGCCTCTCATTATGATTACTGCAATTTAGCATGGCTAGTTACAACCCTTGCCCATCTGTCTATAAATAAACCACGACAGCCCCAGACATATATGAAACCCATCTCTACAAATTTTTAATAACTTACATATACTTCAGTCTGCTGAGGTCTGAAATTCCACTGAAGGCTTGCATGTACATCTGCATTGAAGGTAACCTTAATGATGCGATCTTTAACAGGTACCATTGTCTCAATCTCTCCTGAACCATGGCCTGCTACCGCTGACCCTCCAAGTCCAGTAGCCTTAAAGGAAAAGAAGCTGTAATTAACAATAGCCTGATTAAAAACAAGAAATGGTATCTGAGGCAAGAAGAATTAAACAGAAACAATCTCTTTCAAGAAAACTTTCCCAAGACAACCAACATAAAAGCTGCTACTTCTATGTACAAAAGCCAGACAGGCAACAAACATGGCAAGAGTCGATTGCACCCAATTAAACTATCTGAAAAGACTTACTTCCTTACCCTTCAAGTGATTTCTAGGCATGTGCTACATGGAACAGTTACTTGTGCAAATCAACCATTTAATGTACCCTGAATTATTATCATCTTCATGGGTCGAGGGAGATTTTGAATATGGACAGGCATCAACTAAGGGACTAGATCTACTGGACAGAATCCAGAAAGGACCTACAAGTGATTAAATCTTCCAAATGTTCTTATAAGTTTCCACTCTTTTCTACTATTTGTCTAAATGCTTGCATGTTCAACTAAGATCTGCTTTTATAGAGTGCTGTTTTCAAGTAATACCCTCAACAGTGCTGGATAAGTGTTATAACAAGATCCCTTATGTAGATGTACTCTGTAAATGTGAGCAGTGTTTGAAACTCCCATTGTTCTAGGCACATTTTGTGACAGGGCATCTCATTAGCACAAGCAATATCTGAGCTCTGGGCGCAGTACTTTTACCGAAGATTTCAGATTAAACTGCAGAGTGGAAGGAAAGGAGGAGCTTTTTCTGCCTCCCCACTTCCAGCCACTTTCTGAAGACCAGAGAAGAGACCCTCTTAAGACTATTAGGGGGTGGGTAGGCTGGGGAAGGACTAGACCATGTGAAAAACGAACATACGATTTTAGCTGCAGTTCATTTTCAGCTATATTCTTGTTATTAAAAAGGACGCCTAGACATTCCATTGTTGCACACATCACCTAGTTAAGGTGGACATTTAGCTCCTAGCTTTCATATATCAGTTTCTAACACTGTACGTGGGCAATGACTGGTAGAATGCATTCTTCTTTATTTGTTATATCACTCATTATACACAGAGCCTAGGAGATCCTTTCTATATCCCATTTGGGAAACGCTGTCTCACAGGCCCCTCCCCCATGCTGGGCTCCCCACAACAACAGAAATGGTGAAGTTTACCTGAAGAATAAGAAATCAAGATAAACTTTTTATAAAAGAATGGAAATGGTTTATTGAATATTTACAGACAAATTGTAAACAGACAAAAACATTAGCAGGATCATTGCCATAACCTGCAGTTTTATAAGAGTATATATTTACAGTAGATAAATAAACGAGCAAGTTAAAACAAATTTGGATATGCAGAAGATATTGAAAAATAAATTTAAGGTACCCCAAAAAGAGGGGGGAAGGAAGTCCAATTTTGAAATGTCAAATTGACTGTAAAACTAACGAAAATGTAGAAATTAGAAAAGTACTGTATAAATAAAAAAACTAAAACTAAAATAAAATAGGTGGCAGCCCCTGCTCATCCAACTTGGGGGACAGATCCAGCGCACACTATCTTCAAACGAAGGGACATCCAGGGACCCCCTTCGTGCAAACGGTTGGATTTTGGAGATTTGCGAGTCAGGTGGAAAGCAGCCCCGTCGCTCCCCTGACTCTGCAGCAGTCGCTTCCTTCTTTCCCTGCATTTAGGAAACACTGTCTCGCAGCCCCCCCCCCCCTTTCCCCATGCTGGGCTTCCCACAACAACAACCCTGCGAGGCAGGCCCCCCCCCCCCCCGAGAAGCGAGCCCCGAGGCGACCTCTCACCTGGCAATAGAGGCGGTAAAGGGGCACGGCCGCGTAGGACATGCCCGCCACGCCCACGACGCCGGCCGCCAGGTACGTCAGCACCGTCTTGTTGCGGTGCCTCCAGTCCTCCTGCTGCCGCCGCCGGGCCCCCGCGAAGGGGTCTCCGCCGCTGCCCTTGGCGCGCCGCCCGCAGCAGGCCGCCGCCTCGCCGTTGCCATGGAGACGGAGCCAGGCCCGCCAGGGCCCCCATCCTCGCGCCGCGGGAGCCGCGAGGCAAGCCCAGCCCCGCGCGCAGCCGCCCATGCCTTTCCTCTTTTGCTGCCCCGCCCCGTCCTGTCACGTGGACGCGCTCGGCATTCCTCTCTTCGCCGATACCACCGCCGCCGCCGCCACCTCTCTTCGCGCGCGAGGTCGTCAGGTTATCGCGAGAGCTCGGTCCCCAAGGTGGCGAACCCACAGCCGGGCGGCGCGCGCGCGACACTGTCGCTTGGAACGCCGCCGCCTCCGCTTGCGGGAATCGACTACGGCGGCCGCGGGGGGTAAGTCCGCGTTCTCGTTTACCTGCTCCCTCGGCGTCGCCCCGCCTCCTCGCAGGGCACGGCTAGCTCCGTTGATACGGCGTGAGGCTCTTGATCGCTGGGTCGTGGGTTCGAGACCCGCGTCGGGCAAAAGGTTCCTGCATTGCAAGGGGTTGGGCTAGATGACAATGGTGCGCCTTTCCCACTCTACAGTGCTGTGGATCCTGTGATTCTATGGACGGAGTAGTGAGAGAGCCTCAGGCTGTGGTTACGTGATACAAGCAAGCACACACAAGTTATACACATAATATACATACATATATAGGTAAACAAGCACCTCTTAGTTTAGCTCAGTTGGTAGAGGGCCGGGCTGTTAGTACTTGCTGTAGAGATTCAGATAAGGTGTATGAAAGGTTTTGAATTGCTATATGTAGACTTCTTAAGGAAAATCAGCCCTGAGTGCTCACTGGAAGGACAGATCCTGAAGCTGAGACTCCCATACTTTGGCCACCTCATGATAAGAGAAGACTCCCTGGAAAAGACCCTGATGTTGGGAAAGATGGAGGGCACAAGGAGAAGGGGACGACAGAGGATGAGATGGTTGGACAGTGTTCTTGAAGCTACCAACATGAGTTTGACCAAACTGCGGGAGGCAGTGGAAGACAGGAGTGCCTGGCGTTCTCTGGTCCATGGGGTCACGAAGAGTCGGACACGACTAAACGACTAAACAACCAAACAACAACTAGGCTTCTTAAGCAGGGTACTGTTACAGTGGTACCTCTGGATGTGAACGGAATCTGTTCCGGAGCCCTGTTAGCATCCTGAGCAGAACGCAACCCGCATGTGCGCGGGTCACGATTCACCGCTTCTGTGCATGCGCGTGACGTCATTTTGAGCGTTTGCGCATGTACGAGCGGCGAAACCCAGAACTAACCCGTTCCGTTACTTCCGGGTCGCCGCAGAACGCAACCTGAAAACGCTCAACCTGAAGCGTCTTTGCCCGAGGTATGACTATAAGAATTTTAAGGTCTCAAATACGAATATATATTCATAAATGCACACATATCTAAATACAGTGGTACCTCGGGTTACATACGCTTCAGGTTACAGACTTCGCTAGCCCAGAAATACTGCTTCAGGTTAAGAACTTTGCTTCAGGATAAGAACAGAAATCGTGCTCTGGCGGCACAGCGGCAGCAGGAGGCCCCATTAGCTAAAGTGGTGCTTCAGGTTAAGAGCAGTTTCAGGTTAAGAACAGACCTCCGGAACGAATTAAGTACTTAACCCAAGGTACCACTGTATATGAACCATGTGTCTGAAATAAGACAGGAGAGGAATCCTGAAGCCATTTTCACTCTCCCAATGACCTCAGATATTTCTCTGCAGTAAGGGAGGCAAGGGATGCGGGTGGCGCTGTGGTCTAAACTACAGAGCTTAGGGCTTGCTGATCAGAAGGTCGGTGGTTTGAATCCCCGCCATGGGGTGAGCTCCCGTTGTTCGGTCCCAGCTCCTGCCAACCTAGCAGTTTGAAAGCATGTCAAAGTGCAAGTAGATAAATAGGTACCGCTCCAGCGGGAAGGTAAACGGCGTTTCCGTGCACTGCTCTGGTTTGCCAGAAGCGGCTTAGTCATGCTGGCCACATGACCCGGAAGCTGTACGCCGGCTCCCTTGGCCAGTAAAGCGAGATGAGCGCTGCAACCTCAGAGTGGTCCACGACTGGTCCCTTTACCTTTACCTTTAAGGGAGGCAAATGGGGAAAGCCTTCCCATTGTCTTTTCACTTACAAATCCTGTCTTAAGGGCATCTTTGTGTATGAATAGGGTGAGCCTGTGACCTCCATTCAGGAACTAAAGTATTAACCATCACAAAAGAATGATCAGGCTGCCCAGATAGTGCAATCAGTGACCATTATCAGGCAGGATTTCTGCTGGAGACCACCTCCTTCTGTGGTGTATGTCTGATGTTTCGGCGGGTGTGTGTGTGTGTGTGTGTGTGTGTGTGTCTTGGGCTACAAGGTGGGCAATTTCAAAACTCTGTATAAGGGCTTGTGCACCATTGTTCAGGGTTCTCCTCCCTCCTGCATGTGGTGAGTGGGGACCCTGTTGCAACAGTTCCTTTAATAAAGATCAGGTTTACTAGCCGCTTTGCTTCTCAAAATACTCTGGCTGGCCTCTGTTATTTTCTCCTACCGATAGGGAACCTTCTTAAGGACTCTATACGGCCTCCAGAATACCCCATAAGGGAAAGGGAACAGTTATAAGAAAAACAGTTCCAAATAAATTCTAAGCTCTTTGGGTCACAACTTATGAAACAATGATTCTGGAGGAGGCTGATAAAAGGTGTTTTATATGATAACTGAGCAGCAAATGCAAGTCTCCTACCAACTGAATATTCAAGGTGATATTCAGGCTGTCCACTCCTGCAAAGGACTTCTCCTCCTGCAGGCAAGATTTCCTCTTTGCTGCCTCCTAGTTGAAAACACATCATCTTTAAAAGGACTGAGATGCACTGTAGGACTAGACCTCACGTGAGAATTTGGAAAAGGGTGCGGCAGTGGCAGACGGTGAAAGTTAACTGGGTAGATATAGCCACTTGACAGGGGAAGCATCACTTTGCTCCAGCCAAACATAGAGAGCAAATCTGTAAAAGGGAAACAAACAAATCACATCCAGTAACTATTTTTTTGTCAACGTTTGCAAAACGCTCAGAATGCATCCTTATTCTGTTTATCCTGTGGGTAACATAATATCTTCTAAAGAAGGTTGGATAATAATATTGAAAGTTTTGAGATGAATTTGTTTTTTAGAAAAAACAAGCTAAGTTGCTGTGTTATGAATAGAAGTGCAAAGCCCCTGTAAGAATTGCATATTGCAACTGTTCGGAAATTTGCCATTGCCTTGCGCGCGCTCTCTCTCTCTCTCTCCCCCCCCCCCCCCACTTCCAAAGGACTATTATGGGTCCTCATGAAATCAGTCGAACTATATACATCACATTGCATTTCCAGACTGCCCAAACAGATTAGGTAATTAGCTTATGTGTACAGTTTGCACTAACAAGCCAGGAGCGCTTTTGTCGGGCCCCTTCTGGGCTCTTTCAGTCCACTCCGAACCAGACGGGAGTTGAGATCTTCATAAAAAGTATTTAGCAATTACCTCGGTATATTTACTGGAACAGAGGAAATGGACCTGTTTATTTCTTGCTGCTTTTGCTTGCTCAACAGGCACTGAACTTATCGGAGGCTATCGAAAGCAATCTGAAGAAACCTATGGAATTTTCATAAAGAGGATATTACCTTGGGGTGGGGGGGAATGGCTGCAGTAGATAGTAAATAACTGCCTTTCATGCTATTGTGGTTGCCAGTACAGCTGCTAAAAACAACTTTATGTATTTGTATTCTCCCCACCACTTTTCATTATAGTTCCATGAATGCACATTAGGCAGAGTAAAGGGAGATCAGGCATGAAGCACACTTACCTTTTATCTGAATTGCAATCCCTATGGCCCATACGCAGTAATGTTTTGTGAAAGAGCTCAATGACAAAGAGCTCTTTTCCTGGTCACACCGCTAGTTGAGCAAGTGGGAAAAGCTTGCTGATTGGTGATGGCCATTTCACGTAATAGTTGTAGTTACCGGTATATCCCAGCATGAACATTGTGGCAGAAGACAAAATGTCAGCTTGCATTACGATGTTCTCAGGGTGTCCTATTATAACATGAATGATGTGGCTGTATTCATTCAGAACTCAGCCATAAGGGAGCAAATCCGAAAGCTGTGATTTATATATTGCTGGAGGTCTCTCTGGCATTGTTGTTGTTGTTTAGTCATGTCCGGCTCTTCGTGACCCCATGGACCAGAGCACGCCAGGCACTCCTGTCTTCCACTGCCTCTCACAGTTTGGTCAAACTCATGCTGGTAGCTTCGAGAACACTGTCCAACCACCTCGTCCTCTGTCATCCCCTTCTCCTTGTGCCCTCCATCTTTCCCAACATCAGGGTCTTTTCCAGGAAATCTTCTCTTCTCATGAAGTACCAGAGTATTGGAGCCTTAGCTTCAGGATCTGTCCTTCAGGGCTGATTTCCTTCAGAATGGAGAGGTTTGATCTTCTTGCAGTCCATGGGACTCTCAAGAGTCTCCTCCAGCACCATAATTCAAAAGCATCAATTCTTCGGCGATCAGCCTTCTTTATGGTCCAGCTCTCGCTTCCATACATCACTACTGGGAAAACCATAGCTTTAAATATACGGACCTTTGTCGGCAACGTGATGTCTCTGCTTTTTAAGATGCTGTCTAGGTTTGTCATTGCTTTTCTCCCAAGAAGCAGGCGTCTTTTAATTTTGTGACTGCTGTCACTAGCTGCAGTGATCATGGAACCCAAGAAAGTAAAATCTCTCACTGCCTCCATTTCTCCCCCTTCTATTTGCCAGGAGGTGATGGGACCAGTGGCCATGATCTTCATTTTTTGACGTTGAGCATCAGACCATATTTTGTGCTCTCCTCTTTCACCCTCATTAAAAGGTTCTTTAATTCCTCCTCACTTTCTGCCATCAAGCTTGTGTCATCTGCATATCTGAAGTTGTTAATATTTCTTCCTGGCATTATTTTATGGTAAAACTGATAGCAAAATATTTTGTGTTTCATGTGCTTAGTGTTTGTTTGTACCTGCTAACTCGTACAATCAAATTGCCATTCATTATTGTCCTCTTTCTTTCTTAATGTTGATTGCTTATTGGAGACTTGATTTTAGAAGTCAATGGTGAAGACTTGGTTGTTGTAGCTAATGAAAGGTTGGCTTTGGACATGTAACTTTCAACATGGATCATAATGGTTGCAGGTTGAACCACATGAGAAATTTTCCCTCGCAATAACCCTGTGATGTGCACCTCTATGCTGTTCCCATTTTACAGACTCAAACCCATGTCTTCAGAGTTTAAACATCTACAGGATACATTGGCTCCCTAATGCTAGCATGTTATTGAAGTGCCGTGCTAATTAATTAATTGCATATTCCACTTTTTAAAGCTAAAACTTGACACCTTTAATCTGAAAATTACAGGATTTTCGGTTGGGCATGCTTCCAGCAAGGATTCTTAGGATTGTGGTCTCACTGTGAGAGTCATATTAAAGCTATTCATTGCTAGGCATGCATTGC